TAAGGTTAGGATTATACTTATTTTCTGCACATTTATTGTCAGTTTGCGTCCTTAAAAACAGCATGAAGTTCTGTAGCCCATTGATAATTATGTAATTTACTCCACAGTGGACCATCTGAATGAAAACACTCATTTAACCATGTCTCTCTCTGGTGATTTTTTTCTCCTCTAACTCTGCTTTTTCTTATTAATATCATCATTGAGTATCACATGAGCAGATGTGTGATGAGGGACCACGTGCTCTCTGCCAGCCAAAGACCTCGGGCTCCTTGTTCAGTTTCGAATATTGTAAGATTCAGTGCGATGATGAATTTGCATATATGTTTAGAATTTTGTTTTCAAAAGGATATCATCTAACACTTAAAAGTAAACTTCTAACTTGCAAACAAACATTTATTGGCAACGTTTCAGTACAAGACCTTCATCAAGCAATCAGTTTGTTAAAATAAGGCAGGACCGAAATGTTGCCAATAAATGTTTTCTGAAGTTAGACAGTGTGCAGGAGTTTACCTGCAAGTTTTGATGGACATTAAGATATCAATAGCCTAAATCTAGCATGTTATTTGCTCTATTTGTGTTTAGGAGTAAGATAAATTACATCAATTGATATGTTGTAATTCACTTTCCTCAAAAAACAGCATGAAGCTGTGAAGTCGATGAGAATTTCCTGTTTTCTCCTCCAGACAATCTCGTGATGGAAACACTTTTGCAGCCTTGTATCTTTTTCGTTGATTTCAAACCTCTCCCTCTACATTTCTTATCATCATCACTGTGTATCACCTGGTGAGAATGCACTCCCTCTTTCATCATTGTTCCCTGGTTAAAGTCTTATTTTGCTGGGCTCCTTTCCTCTACCAGATGGTCCATTTTTCATGTGCTTGTCAGTTTTCACATCCCCAAGTCCATTACAACTGTTGGGAGTGTGCGCACATGTGTATTTTTTCTCCGCACAGATCAGAGAGGAGCTCAAATTGACATCCATTTCGGGGCTACACGTTTAGCTTTTATATCCTCAGCCCGAGTGAACGGTGAGAGGCACCGGAAGACATGAAAGAGTTTGAGAGTGCTGTGGAGATAAAGAGAAAAAAAGCACTAGAAAAACCTGGCTGTCTGTCTGCACGTTTATTTTGTGCTTACTAAAGTTCTTCTTCTTGCACATTCTCTCCCTCTCTGCATTCGAGTGAGGAGGAGCTGAGTTATTAAAACGCCAACCTTTCCAACAAGAGGCAATAAATCAAACTAAATATCCAGGGGAGAGTGAGAAAGGAGAGAGAGAGAGAGAGAGAACATGGAAATGAAAAATTGGGAATGGTAAGTTGAGGAAGGGGATTTGATGAGCAGAAGGCTTGGGAAAGAGGGAGAGGAGATGCTGTATTATAAATTGATGTAGAGGATGAGAGGAGATGAAGGTAGTGAGGATAATAATGAGAGTCTAAAAGCGGCCGGTCTAATGCCGGCCCTCGCTTCAACCACTTGGATTATGGAAGGACAGGCCGGCCAATCAGGGTTAATTCACCGTCATCGCACATCAGTCAGTCATGAATGTTTTTTTTTCCACTTAAAGGGGAATGTGACTTTGCCTCAAATTCACTGAGTAATGCAGACAGAAGAGGTGTTAAAGGGTTGGATGAATGTTTTAAAAAAAACAGTTGAGGTTTGCAAGTTTATAACAGTGTGATGATGAACAAGTGATCAAAGGAGCAGGCTGTGATTCTGGGTCAGAAAAATTGTCATCGTAGGGCAAAACAACGTGAGCAATTATCTGGAAAGCGTGTGAGTTTGAGAGGAAAAGACACTAAATACAAATTGAGAAACTACAATCTTTCTGATCAAACTGAAGGACAGAGGCAGATCTGGCAACCCAGATAAAACAGGCACTGCATTAAATCCCCCCCAAAAAATAATTTCTCACACACAGTCATCTTTTTATCATACTATTTTGCACTTAATGGAGCAGAAATCAACAAAACTTAAAGATCAATACTAATACCTCCAACACATGCTCTGTTTTGAATAAGTGAGCTGAACTGATTGCTGATAAAGATTTGATTGTCTTTTGTTCTAAAAGTTCTTAATGAAGCTGTTTCATGAGGACTGTAACTGTTGGACAATATTATACCATGTCAGTACTTTTTCTAGTGTCAACATACTTTATATGAAGTTACTGCTCGAATGAAGTATCCATAACTGAGAAATTGACCAATAAAAATGGAAGACACTTTTTTTTTAACCGACCAGACAGTTAGCTCTGAAACATTAGAGCCAACTTCTTTGCCAAAGTAAAACTTTAGTTTAACTTTGTTTTGACACATTACCTTAATTACCTTAATGTATAGAGTATGTAAGTAGTATAGTAGCCAGTTGTTTGGTTTATTACACTGCACATTCCTACACTTACTTTACATTATTAACCTTGTTTGGAAATGTTAAACTACATGGCAATGAAACAACCATAAGGCTGAGACAAAGGCACTGAAGAGGAGACTCGAGTCAGAAGAGGCAGTTTGAGTGTGACATTGAGAGCTCCGAGGTTAAATGTTTAAATGGTTTAGGCCTCTTAAGTGGCTGTTTTTTCTCTCTCCTTCATCCCCTTCCCTCTCTACACATTCCTCTTTAATGGCTAATTTGAGAAGAGAGACATCAATCAAAAATCCGACACACAAATGCACCATGAGGAGCACACGAACATTCTCATTATTCCTATCCACGTGCTGTATATTATGTAGAATGCACAGTTGGGAAGTGTGAGTGTTTGTGTGTGTGTGTGTGTGTGTGTGTGTGTGTGTGTGTGTGTGTGTGTGTGTGTGTGTGTGTGTGTGTGTGTGTGTGTGTGTGTGTGTGTGTGTGTGCACGTTTTTTTTTTTTTTTTAGAGGTTCCAGAGACTTCCAGAGTAATGGAGAGACTCGGGGGGCGTGGAAGAGAGATGGAGCAATAAAGAGTAACACTCTTGTTCTCTCTCCTCCATCTCTACCCCCTGTAGACCATGTGATGGGCTGGGTTTCACGGCACGCATTGGAAAACAAGAAAGCAATAATTATGTGCCAAGTCTGCAAATAATTATGTAATCTTTTAACTAGCAGTGATTTGTATTTTGAAATTGTTGGATTTTTTCTCTCTCTCTCTCTCTCTCTTTTGGGTGAGGATCAGACTGCTAAGTGTTTGAACATAGACTTTGGGATTTTTCCCTGATGAGAGATAATTAAAGTTACTATTTAATATCAGCCGGTAAAAAACAATGAGATGAAAACTTACATTCATGGTTCTTGCCTGAAGCTGGTCCAGAGACACAAAATTTTTTTTTTTTATTTTTTTACTCAAATCATGTTTTCCTGCCTGCAAACTGTGCTTGGTTATTTAATCATTAATTTCTCCAAAATACTGTGTTAAAGAGTATATTACAGGGGGCGGCTGTGGCTCAGTTGGTAGAGTCGGTCATCTCTCAACTGGAAGGTTGGGGGTTGGATCCCCAGCTCCTGCAGCAACATGCCCGATGTGTCTTTGGGCAACACACTTAACCCCAAATTAGTGCCACTGCTTCATCAGCTGTGTTTAAGCGTGTATGAATAGGACAAGTTAATACCGATGAATACTTTACATAGCAAACTCTGCCATCACTGTGTGAATGGGTGTCATTTGGTAGGTGTAAAAGTGCCTTGAGTAGTCAGAAGAGCTCAAGTCCATTTACCATTTACCATATATTCAGTGTACACTTAGCGCTAGAAGGCAAGGTAAGTATCAGGGGAGCTTCAGGAAAATTCACTATGATGATGAATGGGCGAGGGCGATGACTTTGACTTCATGCGACCAGTGTGAAACCATTGGGATCTTTGTGCTCATCAGTATGATGATCTGTTCTGCTCTTTCGTTGATACTGTCGATTAACTGATGGCATTCATTTCAAGGCACAAACTGGTGGACTCTTTTGCTTTATAGGACATCTTGGATGTGATGTAAACATTACTCTGGGATTTCCAGAGCGTTGTTTCTATGTCATGTCTTGCCTCTTGAGACCCTCCCGCTGTGAGGACCAAGTGTGTCAGAGCAGCAGGGAGATTTTCAAAGGCAGGCTGTCCTGAATATTTCGAGACATTTTTCAGGTGTAGATGTGTCAAATGGACTTTAGCAATATAGTTAAGATAGTGTTTAATCACAGACTTAAATGTTTTAAGTGAATGACTAAGTTATCCACACTTCTGAAACACTGAGCAGTTAAAATCCGGGAAAATGTTTCACTGCCCATACTCTGGTCCTACCACGAATGCACTTTTCTTTTTCTGCTCGTGTGTGTTTATACTCTCAGCGTCTGAGGCAAGAGATGACCCTTAGAAACAGACTTGAAAGACACGGTGGCATCATCTTATTCTGTGAGCATGAAAAATCACAGTGAGCGCATGAAAACAAGATGATGAATAATGGAGAAGCAAACAGATCATTGGGGGAAAAACATTAGCCTGAGACTATTGTTTGCTGTTTTATGGATTTTTGAGCTTGTGTTTTCTGTATTTTGAAATGCAAAGTCACATACTTTTTATTCAGTATGCTTCCTCTTAGAATTGTGATTTACAAGAATAGTCTTCAATTTAACCTTTCTCTTTGTAAATATTTCAGGGCTTTCTTTCAGCAGAGTATCATTCCAGCCTCTTCACGTTGGAGGATCTTTATGAGATTTGGCAGAGCAGCGTATATTCTTAATGGTTTTGCATTAATGAAAGGACATATAGCCCTTTACTTAAAGTGCTTCTACAGACACACACACAAACGTCATCCACAGAATGTAGCTGGCACTACACGCTGCTGCTAATTGAATCACGTATTACATTTCCTGGAGGATTAGTTTAGCCTGAGAGACTGGTGACTGCACGGGTGGTAAGACAGTTGGTGTTTATGCGTCTGTGTGTTTATTGGGATTGAAAACCTTCGAATCAATTATTCATCTTGTGTGCTGCTCAATCAGATACTGAGGAATCCATCTTTGCCTCTCTCTCACCTGCAGGGATTACAGAGGTGTGGTGATGGGACACAGTACGGTGGGTTCACAGTGAATTAGCATGCTGCTGCTGTTGTGCTAGCCGGGAGGAATCTGTATGTGTTTACTGATGGAGGACTCGCCGATGCTCATACTGGTTTTACTGGCTGCATTAGAGTCACAGGTGATTATGGATAGCTGAAACTATTTTTAACCTCCAGGACCTTGATGGAGGCACATAAATAATAAAACCCCCTGATAGGCATCAGAAACTTAAATCAAATATTGAACAACAATGCAGATTTGAGTGGAAAAAGCATTTTAGTGGTTTAGATGGTTTTATTGTTTTCTTTAATATTTTGAGGTTTCTTAAGTGTGGCCTTCACATGAAGATCATTTCTATAAATTCCAATCTGCCAAACTACTTTTCAATGATTCGGTTCAGTTCTAATTTGATCAATGAAGAACAAGTCGGACATGCTTGCAACTCTGCAATGTTGTTTCTAAGAAGTTGGCGCTTTAATGTAAATATTAAAACAAAATCTGATAGGCTCATAATCACACTAACATGTTGTTGTAAGCAGGTACAGTACATTTTATAAGATCATCATAGATTAGCCTGTTAGCACACAAGCATTAGCTTGATTAGCGCGAAACATGAAGTCATTGTGGGGATGACACTTTGGAAGCGTTGTTTGGCTAACGGCTTCAAACCAGAAGCTTGAGGATAAAATACAGGCTTAGGCTTTTGGTAATGTCTTAAGCTTTGCAAGACTTGCATATTTCATAAACTAAATGAAAGGGCCAACCATAGAAACATGAAAGCCAGATATAAATATCAGATATATAGAGAGAGCAAAAATAACTGTTCCCAACTTTGGCAAATAGCTGTCAAGATGCAAAATAAAAACTTTGTCTCCATGGTAACTATAAATGTTAGGATACATGATCTGGGAACAATAAATATCTTTATACTTGGAAGAGAGTGAAATACTCGAACTAAGCAAATATTTAACTTACTGGGGGTGCCAGGAAAAAGGATATCACAATTTCTCAAATATTCTTAGTTTATCCTCTGGAGGTCATGCATGACTTTCGAAACTGCAGTTATAAAACACACTAGAAGTAGCATGATGTCAGTCAAGGCCAAAGTGATGGATGACTGACAACCCTAAAGCCATGCTCAGCGCACAGCGTTCAGCCGTGCTCCCTACATGCAGAACACGCGCTGTGCGTAGGGCCCATAGACTGTAAATATTAGGGCCTCACGATCCATTGGGGGGTCCCATTTTGCACAAGGGGATGCATTCTTTGCAAATGCGCAAAGGATGTGCATCGCTGCCGTGAGGCGCGCGTAGAGCACCAAGTCAAGCCCGAGGCAGGAGAGAGAAAAAAAAGAGACGAGTAATCTGACACCGCACGCGTTGCCGCAATGATTAACATCACGCAGCATCTGACCAATCAGCGGTCAGATGCGCCGACAGGCAGTTGTGATGCAGGTGGAGAGATGGCCTCCAAACAGCAATATGAATCGAGAGCAAGCAAAAGAAAGAAAAAGTCAAAACAAGAGGAGGCTCGTGCTTCACTTGAAGGTGGGTATGTTGTTGAAATAAAAACTAAAAACTTTGTGGTATAAACACCCCAGCTGCTAGCCTGCTAATCATGAGACAGAAGAGAGGATCATTCTGTCTAGATGTGGACTGGAGATTAAACTTTCCAGCGGCCCTGATTATCATTTATTGAATGTCTTGTTAACTGCATATACATTCACCTCTGTTGAAAAAGGAGTGGTTAATTGACCAGTTGGTGGTCGTATGTTGGCTCAGGTTTATAGCCTATCATTCATGCTATCAATAGAAGTTTTGGGCTATTTTTATGGAGGTAAAATGTCGTTATCTCTTTATGAATTTAATTCATAACAGTCATATAAGATTAGATAAAATAAGATAAATTAAGATAATCTTTTATTTGACCCACAATGGAGACTTTTAAAGCGTTGCAGCAGCAAACAGCAGTGTAGGAATATAAATACAAAATGAAAAAATAAGTATATAAAAATATTTAAATATAGAAATATCATCAAATCATAATGAATATTATTAGTAGTTGTAGTCGTATTTGCATTTATTGCATTTTAATCTTTGTGAGGCTAGTATTTACATTAATTTCATTGTGTAATTTACCATTAAGACCAAAACAAATCTTATTAATCTGCTTGTATGATGGATTTCTTGTCATAACAGGGTCAATGCTGAAGTTTGTTACTAAGGGTGACACGGAGCCAGCGCCCAGTACGTCACAAGGGCCATCAAGCACCATGTCTACTGAAGCAGCCTCACCCAGCATGTCACCCGTCACTCATCAAAACACACCTCCGCTCATCAATGGCGCAAGAACGCTTGAGTGGCCTGGCTATCATAAGCATCAACTCAGATGTGGCACAGCAGCTGTCATGTGACGACCTCATTGATGACTTTGCATCCAGAAAATGCAGACGTGTGCATCTGTAAAAGGCTTGTTCCATTGTTGATAGAGGCTGTTCATTTGATTTGTTCCTACTAATAAAGGGTGTAAACCTAAATAGCATTTTGTGATACAGTCATTTTGTAATGGGGGGGGCCTCAAAATAAACTTCTGCTTAGGGCCCCAATTTGGCCAGGGGCCATGCTGCTATCAATGCTGAAAATTGTTGATATCTTTTTGCATTCAGGACTAATTTTGTCTCCTTAACATTTGAATCAGCTGGACATCTTGGTTGCATCTGTTTTTTTTTTATGTTACAAATTAAAGTGTAGCTACTGCATCACCATGCTACAAGTGTTCTCAGGTCACCTCGACATGACGGTCAGGTAGATAGCAGCTTGTTAGTGAGTCCAGCTTTGACTCTCTGCTCAGTTCGTCTGTGACCCTGCCGCAAGAAAACCCACACAGTGTTCATGCCGGGGTCAAAGGACACGGAGCATGAGGTAGATAATAAATATTCACACGGGCAGGGAGCCCTGGAGAAGAGAAATGAGATTGCTGAAAAACATTTTACAATATTTATGTTTGCTCAAGTTATGCTGACTGCTATTAGATCAGATAAAGGTGGCACCTTCAGTCAACAACAAAATCAAATCAAAAGGACAGTCTGTATCTTCTCCAAGACTCCAACTCTATAAAACATCCCAAACTCCATCAAAATACAAGTATCTTTATTATTTAAGAATTGTCTTGTTTTTTATTAACCCAACAACAATTCCCTTTAGGGCTCTTGACGTCTCTTCCTTTCCCCTCATTTTTTGTTATCCCCCTGTTGACAGCACTCTAATAAAGGCACAATATAACCCCAAAGTGAGACAAAATGACTCTAAATCAACATCATCACAAGTCTTAAGTAGCTGTTACAACATTTGCAAATAACTGTCAGTACTAAAAGGCCTCATGGAAAATCACAAAAACGGCATGAAATCAGTTTTCTTTTTTAATACTCCCAGATCAGTTTTAAACATTTTTTAATTTCAAGGATGTGTTCGCACATGAAGGGGAGGGGAAGATTAATGTAGACTTTTGTTTGAAAAAAATTTTTTCCCTCTGAACTTGAAATGTTGTGATTTTTAACAAGAGTAGTGTGCAGGACTTTCTTCTTTTCAAGAAACAGTTTTTTCTTGTAATAGTTTAAACAAACTTTGCTATTGTAACTACAAGACCTAAATTTTCACGTTTTATTCGATAACTTGATTTCAGGCCAGTTGCAGCTTCCTTTTTAAAGCATATACTGTATATTATTAAAGCTATAAAACCAGTAATTATTTTAAATCCTGGCTAATTTGGGGACATTATGACAATCATTTGCATTGTGACTAGATGGTGCATATGTTATTATTTTGCTCCCTGCGGTGTGCATGCATACAAATGCCAAAAACAAGGGCTTGCACTGGACCACCCTCAGCCAAACTTATCCCTCATTATTCCCTCCATCCCTGTGCTCTCATCGGGGGAGAGGGATGCAGACGACAACAGTGAAACAGTGAAAGGCTGATCAGCTCCTCTGTTAGATCAGAGAGAGAGAGACGAGCCAGAGGACAGTGAGACCATAAAGAGGACATTGGAAGCGCTCAGAGCCTGTGTACAGAAAGAAAAGAGAGGAAAGAGGGGGGAAAGCAGGATAAGAAGAGGTAAGAGGTTTAGTATGCCGGGTATACTGTATGTAGGAGGAGCAGCATTGACTGGCTTGGAGAGACAATAAAAATAGTGCTGACATGGTGCAGTGCATGTGTGTGTGTTTGTCAGCATGTTACAGGGAAAAACGGGAGGGGGGTGATGAAATCCTTCCCAGAGTAGTGTTAAAAAAGAAGTAATAAAGTGACGATAAAGAGCAGAAATCAAAGTGAAGAAGGGGAGAATGCAGGTCCCTTCGATTACAATTCCACATGTTAAATTGCACCTATTTAGTTAACTGCTGATGGGATCAATAGGGAAAATTGAGAAGGCATGGAGGGAGGGGAAAGGGGCAGAGGAGACAGCAGGTGAAGTGGGGAGAACCTAAAGAGGAGGAAATATGGTTGCCATGCGTATGCATGGCAGTGGAGAACAGTGGTAAAAAAGGAGGGAGGAAAAGACGGATGCAGGGTTGCGATGATGGATGTGCTGCTCTCGTTTCGTGCCCCCTAACGAAGACTCTAATTAGTGTTTGTGTAATTCCACACTGTCTCCTCCGCCTGCTCATCTTAATTAACTACATTCATCTTCCCCTCCCCTTCATCCATCCCTTTCTCTCGCCCTCCCTCCCTCCCTCTCTCTGCCCTCCTAAAATAACACACTGACTGTCTGAACCCCACCTGGACCAGACCTGCTTTTACTTACAACACTTTCTCTCTCCCTCCCTGCCACCCTCTTTAATTCCCCCTTTACCTCCATCCTTTTACTCCGTGTATTCTTCTGTCTCCCTCGCTCTTTTTTCCTCCTACCTCACCTTGAAAAAAAGCCTTTTTGTCTCTCCTGCAGCTGAACATGCTAGTGCTTGGCCTGCAGGAGAGCTCGCCCACCCTGGTGTGTCTCCAGAGTCCTATTTTGTGATGGCCCATTTAGTCATTCCAGTCATCATCAATAGGCTCAAGAAGTGGAAGAAGTACATGGCTACTCCGAGCTAGTCATACATTAAAGCCAAGTGACACCCACAAGCGAAACAAAAAGACAACAATTTCAGAAACTCTCAAACAAATTGAAGACAACACGAGGCGTACAGAACAAGGGACAAAAGGAGGAATTATTTATCTGGATCTGGTTCTATACTTTAGCTCTAAGAGGGCCAATTGGGTTTAGGGGACAGTTACACAAGTGTTTGAGTGGCAGTCAGAGGAGGAGGAGGAGAGACGAAGGGGGCTGTGTGAAGTGCATTTACCGATGGAGATGACAGGCCTGTTGATGACTGGTCTGTATTGTGTTATTGTAGCGAGCGGCAGATGGATCGGAGTACCTGCCATCATTTAGCCCCGCAGTCTGAAATGGCTTTTCCTGCTTCCAGCCTTTCAGCAGTCAGTCAGTGTGACAAAGGACTGCTGGGAGTCAGAGCCTCAGTTTCACAGCACCCCATCTCTGCACAAACACACAAGTATGCTCACTCACACACACACACACACACACACACACACACACACACACACACACACACAAAAACGTGCATACACAGTCGTAAATATTCCGCACACATGGGTGCCCATGCACACACATCCAATCAGACGAGCTGCAGAGGAGGGCCCTAAGCGCTCACTGTTTCACAAATGAGGTGCCATTCAAAGCAGGTATAAGAGAAAAAAAACAACATTTTATTTATGTTTTGTGTCTTTTTATCTGTATTTCTAGGTGTGTGTGTGTGTGTGTGTGTGTGTTAGCATGTTTGTGTATATCGGGATGTTCTGGACATAAACTGCAGTTTGCTGAGAGAAGCAGAAATGCTTTTTCATCCTCTTTGATTCTCACACCAAAGACCCTTTTTACACCCGTAACACACCATCACACCCCACAATGCATTTCACCATTTAAATTGGCTGCTTTTGCTCACACAGATTGCCATCATACTGCCCAAAATGGAGAAAATGTATACACAGAAAACACACACAAAAACACGCTCAACCTCCACCCACACACACGCTACATTGACAGCAATTACAAGCCAATCGGTGCTTTCTCCTGCTGAAGGGCAAAGGTTAATCTAGCAGGGTTTCACCTGACAGCACTTCCTCACAGCAAAGAAAGGGGACGGGCAAATAGAGATAGAGCAAGGTAGGGGGAAGCCAGGAGCAATAGGGGGACAGAGATAGCAGCGCAGACAGAAATAAGGGGATTGTGATAGAATGACAAAGAGGAAGCTACAGGCGAGAGCGAAAGAAATGAGGAGAGAAGGAAAGAAAGAAAGAAGAGAGATACACCGATTGGCAACAAAAGAGGATGGCCAAAATGGGCACAAATCTCCCTACTGTCCTTTAGACTTTCTGAGCAGATTTGGCGTCACCATTAGATGCTCCACAGAGACATCCTCGAGGGGGGAAACTGCCTTAAGGCACTGATCTCAGATCAGCTTATCCACTGGAATACCTAACCTTTAACAATAAAAAGAAAATGCAAATCTGACCTTAGATGACAGTCTAAGTTAAACCTCTTCCCTCGCTCCTAATCTCAATGCCCACTGGGCTCAGCGTCACCTGTGCTGCTGCTGCTGCTGCTGAAATGTAGATGTTACAAAAAGCTTGTGGCAGCTGGCTTCTCTAACCTGCACCTGTTCCTTTTTCCACATGTGTGAGTCTGTGTGTGTATATGAAGAGGTGGGGGTGTTCTTGTGTTTGTCTTTTCTGTGCGTATACCTGCCGTCTTTAGTGTTTCTGTCTTGTCTGCAGAAGTACACTCACGGGGGCTAATACAGAGCTGAGACTTGTGATGTATGAGACTTCAGGAACATTTATCTAAATAGCCCCAAAGCCCAACCAGCAGCACACAAATACACACATGCACACATTGTTCTAACTAGTTATGGGCAAGAAACTTTTTCCCTTTCTGGCTTGCTCTGTAATTTGAACAAATGGATGACAGAATTTCAGAGAAAACACGAATAAATGAGAATAGAAATTGATGACCGTGCTTTAACAAAAACCACATGTAGTATTACGTACTTCAATTAGGAAATGAACACCCTATCATTCTCTGCGACATGTAAGGTATTGATTTTAGAAAGACGACTTCCCACTAAGCAAGGCACAGAACCCAGAACAGCTCTGGTGCCATCCCTGCATAGCATTGTGTAGCAGCACCACTCTGACATCTCTCCTCTAATGCATGTCCACAGGTCCTGTTTGTGCATGTCTGTATTTCGGGCCTATGTGTGAGAAGCATGTTTCTCAATAACAAAGTGTAAAACCAGAATTTCCCTCAGGGATTAATAGTTTATTTAAAATTAAATTACTTTTTAATTTTACTGCCTATACCTTTTAGCATTAATATTTTTTTTCAAAATTTCACTGGCTCACAACTCTAGCTTAATTGTATTTAAGTGGAGTTATGAATTATATTTGTTTGCGTCAATTTGTTGGTGCTACAGAGGCTTTGGTATAAATTTCAGTCCTAAAAACTCCTCAAAGTAAATATGTGTACTGCAATGAATGTGTGTACATTTGACACCTTTGCTCATGTCTTCATTTTTAATTGACCTTTTCTTTAATTCATGTTAAGCTAAAACCAGTGTAAAGTAAATACAAAGATTAACAGCCAAACCGGCATGATTTTGGAATGACTAAAGCAGGTGTTCCCATATAGGACCCCCACATAGCATTAGCCTCTAGAGGGACCCCCGGCTTGCAAAATGTCTTACATTTCTAAAATTTTCTGTGGAAAAAATAAAAAATGTAACTTCTTATTGTGTTACCTTGTTCTTTAAATAAAATAATCCTGCTATTCATTGGTTCTATGTCTTTCCTGTAAACAGTCTTTTATAATTTTCTCCAGACAATAATTAACAGTCAGAGCAACTATAAAAAAAAACATTTAGAGAAAATGTTTCCCCTGTATTCATTCATGACATTCAACATGTCTTTTTGTTTGGTGTAGAAAGATAAAACAGATTTCAAGATGGTTAGTAACACATTATTAAAAGTAAAACACATTATTTTCTGCTATGTTTTCCACTAAGTTTTTATTATGGTTCAATTTTCTCTCCTCAACGGCCCTGACCCCCTCTGGTGACCCCCATAGAGTTTGGATCCCCACTTTGAAAAACACTGGACGATAGTATTTGACATGCTGTGGATCACCTTCTAGAATTATTATAATTATTCAAACATTAGGCGTGTTCAATAAACTAAGCTGGACACTTTGGTCACTTTTATGATGCTTTATCGTTAAAGTCTATTTTGTGAGTTTTGTAAAACTTTCTTGCAACTTCCTGCCTGAAAACTTAAAGAGACACGTTTTGTGTTTTGTTTCACTGTTATTCAAAGAAGCTATTTTACTTCTACTAAAGTCACCTGTGTGTACTTCAAGCTTCATATGGCGTGATCTATCACAACTACACTTTTGCTTAATGGTGAATAAACAGAGGAGAGGACTTCTGTGAAACAATGCAATCACTGGAATTGAAGTGGCAAATTAAAAGTATGAACTATGAAATTATGTCTGACATTGTTAATAAGTGAATAATCACCTTATTCAACAAATTAACTGTATGTACTTGTCATTAATTTAGTCATTAATTACTTTTAGAAATTGCTGTCGTTTCATTAATTTCCACCCAAAAATGTGCATTAATTTTCTTTTAAAACCTTTGTCTTGTTTTCAAAAGGATATTTTAGAAAACTAATTATCCCTCCTTCTTCCTCATTTATTTTCCCTGTACATCATCTGTCAAATTATCTTTCCCTTGTCTGATTTGTGTCAAGATTTTTCGGTTGAGTCACACCGGGTTAGTGAACACAGGTTTTTGTGTGTGAGTGAGATATAGAGATAGAGGAAATAAATTGCAGTTGTACGTCACTCTCTGTGTGATGCTGGACTGATATTTCCCTGCTATTGTTAAAATCATACACCTTTCAGGCTTAGCTGGATATAGCGATATCCTGCAGGGCTGCCCAGCCTGAATTATTTAAAAAAAGACACATTCATTTATCCAAAAAGAGACATAACACATTGTCTTGACACTTTAATAAGACAGTGGAAGCAGTGTTGACTCATCACCTTGATTGTGGATTTTTTTTCGTGTGAGTCAACACCACAAAGATTCTTGGTATTCAACATCATTTCACATCACTTTTTTCGAAACAAATCGTTCATGTCATATCCTCAAAAACCCTCTCCAAAAAAATTCCCATGCATTAAAAATAATGTCTGAAATGGGACACTCAGCAGATTCTTTTTTTTTATTTTTATTTCTCGTTTAATTTTGGGATCGTCCTCTCCGCAGCTGCCGACGTTGACTTCTGATGTGGAAGTTAAATAAATAAATCATTTCTCATGGTAATTTTCGTCAAACCTGCCAAATTCAGCCTAAATATTTGACATGGAAGAGAGAAGATCAGTGAGAAGTGAGATCAAAGGAGGGTGGTGGGTGGGGCGGGGGCTGGGGTGTGCGAGTGTGTGTGCGTGTGTGGTGTGTGTGTATGTGTGTTAGGAAAGTGATGAAACGTATTCTAGAGTGTGATATTTTACAAACTGCTACCAACATTCTACTGACTCTACCTTTAATGAAAAATTGTGCAGTTTGGACCTCCGGTGGTACAAAACATGTGACAGATGTTTAAATGTGCTTTATAGACTTTTTAATGAGTTTTTTTCCAGTCACACTTTCACGGCCCACTGAAAACAGTTCCACGACCCACTTCTGGTCCCAACCCCAAGTTGAGAACCACATATTTGAACCCAAACGTCGCTGATATTTCCTTCAAAAGACACAAAAGTGCACACTGACAGTTAACCTGCTGATGTACCTTAAACATCACATTCAGCTGACAATGAAGTGTGTGTGTGTGTGTGTGTGTGTGTGCGTGTGTGTGTGTGTGTGTGTGTGTGTGTGTGTGTGTGTGTGTGTGAACACCGTCAGTGTGAACTTTGACTCCTGCACCTGATGTCAGGTGAGCAGAGCTGCTCATGCTGTAAATCCAGTAAATGGCTTCAAAGTTCACACACTCTTTATGGTGACATTCCAATCAGACACCTCCCAGAATAATTTGACTGTATGAAGGATCGCAGGTGGATTTTATTCAACACGTCTTTGGACCTCTCTCTCTGCCTCAGATTCTGCAGCTGAAGAAACAAAGAGAGAGAGTAAAAAGTAAGAGAAATAACTGATGTCCTCTTTAAGTTTGTTTATGTGGATCTCTGAGTGCGTCTGAGTGTCTGTCCTGTTTCTGTTTCTGTGCTTGAACATGTCTTTTGTTCTCTTGAGTGTGAGCAGAGCTTTTCTCTCTACATGTTTTTAACTCTGAAGGATTTATTATGCTCAGGTTATTTTTATTCCTGTGTGTCTGTACCCCTCTCTTTCCTCTGCACGGTGTGTGTGGATTCTGCAGGATGTATATAGGATCTGTTTGTAGTGTTTGTATTGTGCTAGAAATCAGTGTTCACCAGAGTTCACTGCAGGGTTTGAGATGTGGAGAAGAAAAGTCTGTGGACATGAAGCTATGAAAGCTTAGCTTAGCTTAGCATAATGTGAGACTTTTGAGATGAATTGACCTGAGGCACGGTGAAAGTTAATTTAGTTTCTTTGATCGAATTCTGCTCAAAAGGAGAATTTACACTTAGTATTAATCAACTATTGATCTCTGCACATTTCTGTCTCGTGTTTGTATTTGCCTGGTTCTGATGGGTTATCAGGGCCGAGCACCAACCTCTGACCCTCTTAGAATGCAAAGACTCATTCTTTCTTTCTTTGTGCCCAATGAACATGCCTCAAAAAACTCACCACATTTGGCAAAAATATTAGGCTACATATTATGGTGGTTTTTCTTGTGACTTAAGGGAAACGGCTCAATAGCGCCCCCTAGAAATGTTCAAAAAGACCTCCCTTAAGAGGTTTATTTTCTTAGTATGTAGCTGACTCACTCACTGTAGGTACAAATAAAGTGACCTTACCTTAATGAGTATGTTTGCTTTAAACAATTATATCATTATAGAAATGTAAAAATTTGACTTGTTCTTGTAGAATTATAATTTAACACACAATTTACACACACACACACACACACACACACACACACACACACACACACACACACACACACACACACACACACACACACACACACACACACACACACACACACAGTGGGTTATGACAGGTGAGGAATTTTTACAGTAGTGTTGTATTGAAGGTGTGTTTGCTCTCGTCAGCATAAAGAGAAGTTTTTTTATGTGAACTCAGTGAGAGAGAGAGACAGAGCTGACAGCTTCCTCTTCAGGACAGACAGTCAGGAGGTTTTCTAAAATCACGTCTGCTCCCCAGAGGATTAACCGGAACATCGACTCTGAAATATCAAACTTTTGTTAAAAAGTTATCGTGAGGTGCCCGCAGCACACATCAGAACAAACCATTCACTCCTCTCCACTGCTGCTAAATATGATTATTTTTAAATTATTAGGAAGTTTTTAACTTCCCATCGAGGAACAAACCCTACTATGTCTGATACTGAAACGTCTCTCTCTTTGTTGTTTCAGGATGGAGGGCGAGGAGGACGGGTTGGGCCGGGTCAGGGAGCTGCAGGAGCAGAGGATGGCGGTGCAGAAGAAAACCTTCACCAAGTGGATGAACAGCGTCTTCTACAAGAACGGGGTGAGACGCAGAGAGTCCAGGAAGGAAAACAGAGAGAGGACGAGAACACAGCGGTTTTCAAGTTTAATTTGTAAAGGTCAAAAGGTCACATCAGCACACAAAGATCTTCTTCATCCATTTATTGTAGCCTTGGACTGAAGGCCAAAGCACTAAAGTATAAGGTTCTTAACGTAGAACACACCTTCAAAGCTCTCGATTCACATTTAAACCACAAAGTCTCATCACAGGGAAAATGTGGTTTGACTTTTCAAAGTAAAAGTTCTTCTTCTGTTGTGTTTGAACACTCTGCCCGTCCTGAACAGTGTGTTCAGTCGTGCCGTGTTTCCATGCCGGCTCTCTCTCTCTCTCTTTTTGTCTCTGTCTGTGTTTGTTGTTGAGTCTGCAGACACATGCAGGCAGCTCCATTACTTTTATTATCACTGTAATCAACATTCACACGGAACATCGACTCAGCACATCTCTGTTTCTGTACACCATGATTTTGCATAAATCTGCTCCCTCTGAGTCCTGGATCCACTTTAGTTACAAACATCTGGATTCTTTTCTTCATTTTTTCTTGTGAAATTTACAGATCTGTTTACTCTGAATAAAGGGTCAGGATTCAGCTTGCACTAATGGTATTAGCTGAAAGATTCATTATCATTGTTGTGTTTCTGTCGGCTTTAAAGGTGTCAGACCTTTACGAATCGAACAGAAGAGAAAGTTTCACGCCTGCAGAGATGAAGTCAGTGTTATTACTCATGTTATCAGTCACGTTCCTGTCTGATAACCTGCAGTCTACCAGCTAGTAACACATATACAAACACTCATTAATCATCGGCCGTGATGGCCGACACCGTCACCCTCAGATAAAAACACACAGTATAAATATGAGTGTAGTTCTGTATCCTGTCCTGAGGGCAGCTCTCAGATTCCACTGGGCTCTCGTAGGTCTGGGTTAGATTTCACGTTTTTCTTTTCTCTGATAACTGGATGACTGATGAAGCTGTTGGCTGAACCTTTCTGCTGCTGCTCTTCATTCCCAGAATTCCTCTGGGATTTCTGCAGGATGGCAGCAGGGAGAGAAAGAATTCTTGAGGGCTGTAACACACATTTACTTCACTTTCTTATCCTGCAGGAGGTTTGTTTACTATCCTTCATTTAGGTCATGTCCTCTGCACTCCTTCAAAGTTTGAAGCTAAATTATGAGTTCTGCGACTACGTAATTATTATGTAAGAATTGATAACAGATTGCATAATATTTTGGATGCAAAAAGCAAACAAAAATGGAAATAAATCATGTTAAAGTGATTAATTTAGTAAAATGGGGATCATAAGGATCATAACAAAGAATCACTTTCACTTTAGCGAAGTAAATGTATGTTACCCGTGCTATAATAAAGTCCCAATGAATTGAGGGATAAAAGTTACAGGATTCAGAGCTAACATTTAAATGTTTTTAATGTAAATATTTTGGACAGTGTAAAGTTGTTAAGTAAACTATAGGTTCCTCAGAATAAGGTTTTGAAAACGTTTAATTACCGAAGCTTTAAAATATCTTCATATCTACAATCATAGTTTTAGTCTGAATTGCCAATACATGGGCAACTTTTTGGTACGTTGCTAATGTATCTGTGCAGTTTAGCTAGTGTAGAGAAGTTTGCCTGCATTTTTTGGTATTTAAAAACAAGAATTTGGTATTACCAAACATAGAGCATCTGTGTAAGCATATGCCCAATAAAGCTGATTCTGATTCTGATCTGGGACTTCTATTTTTAATGCCGTGGTATCCAAACTGGTATAAATAATGTTAGATTTTTAACTAGAATCATATCAAAGTTTAAAATTCTGCTACTCAGACAACCCTGATTTAAAATGATACTAAAATACTGTGTACGGCATCAGATAAACTCCGTTAATTCCCACTTACAAATAATTCAGTGTAATACATATTTTGGCCACCAGTGGCAGCACTGAGCGCGTCGCCGCGTCCATTCGGAGCATCAGAGAGAAGGGCCGAAGAAGAGTTCTGGCGCGAGTTTAATTTACCTGTCGGTGGAAGTGAACCAAGTCGGACTAAATCATGTATTCTGTCATAAACTCACTTTACATCGCATTTTAACACATTATCAGTCCTTACGGAGATTTCCCATTACTCCGGTGAGTCTGAATATATGTAATTCTTTTCCGGTAATGTATTTATGAACGAAGACCGAAATGTTGGGTTTGATCTCTAACCGTCCTACATAAAATAAAAATTCCACTTTAAGATCTTTTTCAAATTATGTTTTATCTTAAATGTAATGCTAACGACCTGCAGCTAGCTTAAATTATTGTTGTTATTTAACTTTTTACAAACAAAACATACTTAAAGTGTTAAACATACAAAAAAAAACTCAAATTAAAATATAAAAACCAAACTGTCCAGAAAACAAATATGTTGAAATAAATACATATGAAATAAAATAAAATAATACAATTTGGGGCTTCATCAATGTAATAACTGAAGTAATAAATGGAGAAAACAGTGTTTGTGTGAGTGGTCTATGTAAATATATATTTTCTTTCTTTCCTTAAAATTTACCCAAATTAAAGATACAGTATAGAGACTGTTTATTCACTTGCTGTAATCATATTCTGACTAAGGTTCAGCTGTGGGGTCTGGATGGACTGGTCTGGGGTGTTGGGGTTCTGGTTGGTAGGGGACTGGTGTCTGGGTTGTTGGGGACTGGTGTCTCCTTGGGGGCCTCTGGTGTTGCAGTGGTTCAGCTGTATAGCCTTCAATGTTGTTGTTTCTGTCTTCATATTCTTACTCTTGTTATGTTTATCATGCTATTACATCACCTAATAAAATATATATATTTATACTTTGTCATTCTAAAGAGGAAGAAGATGATTTTTGAGAAAAACAAAATAATGGACTGTTGGGCGTGGTCTTTAACTAGGAGAGCAGCATCAGGAAGTGCTCTGTGGTCACAGGAAGACTCGGACAGTAGGTCTCAGAGAGGTTCTTACAAACTGTAAAATCCAAAAAACATTACTGAGTATAAAATTAGGAGGGCATTCGTCTTGTTTCTAAGACTGTCTCCCCTTGACGAGATAGCTGTAAGATGTCCCCTGACCTGCAGATAACCAGGATGTCCTGAAGCAGAGGAGACACACGTTATGTAACACCCTTCGGGGGGGAAGAAACACTCCAGTCCAAGGATGAGTTATGAGAAAATTAACTTTTTAACATTGAGCTTCCTGCAGATCACAGAGCAAAGTTCAGTCAGAGTTCTCCGTATATGTTCACCGCTGACATTATTATGTAACATGCAGAGGTGCAGAAAGTTTCCTATTGTTTACCTAACTGCCAATATGTGGATTTAAATTGACTCCAGTACAAGTTAAAATCCTGTTTCAGTTCTCAAGCTATTATAATTCATGCAACAGAGTCAGACATTTTAATAATCAGGGCTGGAACTTTTTCCTTCGAAAGGTGTGTTGAAGAGGAATAAATCCATTAAAAAAAATTGCAACTTTTTGTTAGTTTGGCTTTGAATCAGGTAATTATATCATTTGATTTTTACGTTTAATTTAAACTTGTGGAAGTCATCAGTACCTCTGATATCTTCAGTGTAAACGTGCTGCATTTTTGTCGGGTGTGTTTATCAGAAATTATGCTGAGATGTGTCGTTAAAACGTTGGTTTTGGGTCAGAATGGGACCAACATGACTTTAAACTTTGTCCGCCTCCTGCAGGAGCCGTTGGAGCTGACGGACGTTTACACCGAGCTAAAGACCGGAGTCGTTCTGATCCGTCTGCTGGAGTTCATCTCCAGAGAGAAGCTGCCGCCACCCAGCCGCCGCAAACTGAGAGTCCACTGTCTGGAGAACAACAGCAATGCCATTAACTTCCTCAAAACCAAGGTAACTCACCTTTCACCTCCAAGCCAGTAAGAGTGTAAAAACAAAGCTGACTCACCTTTCCAAGTCACTCTGATGCATTAAAACCATGGTAACGCACCTGTCCAAGTCCAAAGACCGCTCCCCCATGTCATTCAGAGTTCAGAAAATGTAAATCTTTCTCAACCCCCTCTGGATCTTTTCTTTCAGATTCGGGTGGATCTGATTGGTCCAGAGAATGTGGTGGACGGAGACCGCACGCTGATCCTCGGTCTGCTTTGGATCATCATCCTCAGGTTCCAGATTGGACCCATCAACCTGGACGAGGTAGGGAATTAAACCCACACCATTCCTTGTGGCTATTCTATTTTTGTCGTTCTAACTGTGCTTTTCCTTCCTTTCTTCTGTCCTTCCATCCTTCCATCCTTCCTTCCTTTCTTTCCTGCCTTCCTCTCCTCTCCTCATTTCCTTTCCTCTTCTCCTCTCGCTCTCTCCTCAGGCTGGTGGAGGAGGTAGTGTGGCTCATCGCTCGGCAAAGGAGGCTCTGTTGATCTGGTGTCAGAGGAAAACGTCGGGTTACGATGGCGTTGACGTGCAGGACTTCTCTTCAAGCTGGAGGAGTGGACTCGCCTTCAATGCCCTCATCCACGCACACAGGTAACACACTTAAAAAAAACACTCACAAACACATTTGTTTCTGCTGTCCATCCTCACCCCCCCCCCCCCCCAACATCCCATCCCAGGTCTGACCTGTTTGATTACCGCCGTCTCCATGCCGATGACCCCCGTCGTAACTTGGAGCACGCCTTCTCCATGGCTGAGCGAGAGTTTGGCATCATGCAGCTGCTGGAGGTGGACGACATGGTGGTTCCTCACCCGGATGAGAAGTCCATCATGACCTACGTGTCCCTGTACTACCACTACTTCTCCAAGATGAAGCAGGGACAGACCATCCAGAAGAGACTCGCCAAGGTCTGAAAGAGCGGTTTTCATAGTAGTGAAACAAAATTATCACAAATATCTTCCTTTTTACAAGTTAAATACTTTGAGATATATACATCTACATTTTATTAGGAACCTTGAAAACATTTTAAAACATTTCCCCCAAGCTTCTTACTGGTTAACAGTTAGGATCTAAAACTTTTGTACTTAACATGTCAGCTGTGAAGTTTTGCGGTCAAAAAGAAGACAGGAATGTTGAGTTCTATATTGCTGGTAAAAATGTATTTTAATTCTTGAAGCTCTCTTGTGTAGCATGGATACTGGTTTGGATCAGTGTAGTATGTGTTTTCCCTCACTCCCTCAAAGGTTGGTGGTCCAAACTGTGGTCTTTTGCTCCCTCTGCAGGCTGCAAAAAGAACTGCAACAGCTGACCATCATGGTTTGTCTGCTCACTGCTAGTGCAGGCTGTTTCAGTGTTTGCACTTCAATGAGTGTTTTAAAATGATAGTCTATGATAGATGATAGATTATTTTGGTGATGGATAGCATAAGAAAATACGTAATCTTCAAAAAACTTTATAACACAGGTGTGTAAGAGAGGAATAAATCCATCAAACATTTCAAGCTGACTCCTACACACTGTCTAATTGGCAAAATGTCACCAATGTTTTTGTGCAATTTAGTTAGCGTGGAGAAATCAATTTTTGTTCATTATAAACAAGAAATAACCTGAAATTGGGTGTCTAGGACTTCCTATTTATAGCCTTGGTTTCAAAAGAGATATCAGTATCATACGATTTTTACTAGAATCATATCAGAGTTTAAAATTGGGATATTGTGACAATCTTGTCTTGATTGCGGCTGAACTCAAAAGCAGAACGACGGCAGTTAAGGTGTCAATAAGGAACTTTCTTCAGGAACTGCAGGGGAAAGAGAATCGGTCGCTAGTGGGGGGGTCCAGGGCTGGGGGTGAGGGCATGAATCGATGGGAGTTGATGCTCTGGCTGGCTGGCGGGCGGGCTTTGTATGTGATAATGTGGATTAGCAGATTGAACATTAAACTTGAGCTGGACTTGTGACTCAGATTAACCACAAACGGCACAACGATCCAGATGGGAGTGAGTGTTGGTGATGAGTTCTTGTAGGAGTAGGTGATTGCAGATCTGTAACAGGTGTGCAGGGGGAATAAGGAAAGAGGGCAAAGGGAACCAAAACACACCAAACACTCAGAAAACAAACCAAAACACACATCTCAGTGTTTCCCCTACCATTATATTGGGGGCCGGCCCACCCCCCCTGAATGTCAAGTAAAAAAAAATATTATTATTACTTTTTTTTTAAAGATTTATTTTTGGGCTTTTTGTGCCTTTATTGTAGGGATATGATAGTGGATAGAGTCGGAAATCAGGGAAAGAAGTAATTTAAAGATACCTTTACGATAGAAAAGGACATCTGTCATTAAAAGTAACGCACCAAGATGAACACCAAGATTCCTTCAAGTGTTTGTGTTGTCGTGTTGCCGTGTCGGCATGTCGGCATGTCGGCTTGTCCCCACCCCCACAACGCTGTAAACCTAGGGGAAACACTGCATCTCCATACAAACTAATGTCTCTGCAGGTACCTGTAGAAACATTCACTTCCTTTTTGGCTCACATGCTGCCTGTCGCTAATCCCTCAGGTTCCTCCTCCTCCTGTCAGTCAGTCAATCAGTGTGGATTACTGCTGGATTAGATTCACACTGTCAGTAGGACCCCTGCTGACAGAGCTGCAACACACACAGCACACACACCATACCTTCACTGTGAGGGGCTTCATTTATCACACAGCAGGAGAACAGAAAGAGTAGCCACAATATTAAGGTTTTATATTCATACCACAGGCATAAGAGACACCCATGGATACCCACCTGTCAAATAAAAACGTCATGCAGATATATTACAGTTGTTTTGCATAATGTGGAAAAGCTTTATAGGATTACCGGTGTTGATGTTTCCTGTGAGCTGGTATGGTGACGGAGCAGCGTCTCAGTCCTGTGCCGGTGATGGTGGGCGGGGCTGCAGACACTAAGCTAATCAGAGCAGATCACATTGAGGACATTCAGAGGAGTCGTTCACAGAGCTAACAGCTACAGTGCTAACATGGAGCTACACACCTGTACCTGCTGTTTGCGCGTGCACAGAGAGAACGGAAGAAGGGAACGCTTTGAGTTCAGTCTGTTTCACCTCAGTGGAGACTGCACCACAGAGGATTTCTCCTTGGATTTTAGAAGAGCTTGATTGTTGTTGTTGTTGTGAAGCTCTGTCAGGGGTTGTGAGTTGTCTCTGTGGGGTTGGTAAGCTCAAAGATTTGCTGTTATGCTTCTTGGCTTTAAATTGAAATTAAGGGAGAACAGATGCTAGTCTTCTTTAGCTCCTCTGGATTTGTAGTTTTTTCTTGGACTCAACTCTCAGCTAAACTCTTCAAACTGTGCTCTAGTCCAATCCAGATGTTTGCTGTGGTGAGAGGAGCTCTGACTTCCTTTCCTTAGGTCAACTAAAAATGTCATACTATGTGGAGGCTGTAGAGTTTTTGCAATCCTGTTCAAAGCTGTCATCTTCTTCTCATGTTCACCTTTCATGTCGTCAGTGTGTGAAACCTTTAAAGCAGCTTTACATGATCTTATTTATCTGATACTTGTGTCAGTAAAACCCCTTATTTCAGCCTCTGCCTGAAACTGAAGCTGGTGTCTCTTTAAGACCCCCCTCCCCATGTGCCCAGTTTTTTCTGATTGTCTAGCTCTCTGGAAGTCTTCTGAGGAGGGGCAGAACGCGGCAGGGCTGCCAGGGGAGTGCTGCTCTCCAGTGTCCGGAAAAGAGAGTCCGTGTACGAGGTTTCAGTGGCTTGAAGCCGTCTGGTGAAATTCTTGGTTTCATATCGGGGAAGTATGGCGTGATTTACAGAACATGTCATTTAGCGCCCTCTGGAGACTCATGCTGGGATTACTCCAACATATGTTGAAACTTGGCCCACGTTTAGTTTGGGCATCCAGCACTGTTACACTACAGCAACAGTCAATTTTTATATGAGGAAAGAATCGTATCATCATTTTTGTCATGATTATTAGCATCCTTTTGATGAAGTTCCTTAATTTGAAACACTTTTAATTCACCAGAGGAGCCAAAAACAGACATTTTTACTAGCTGCTTTTAAATATTTATCATCCACATGGATGATAACCCTAACCCAAGTGAATAAATAATGTGAACATTATTCTGGTGATCTAAAACATCTGATGAGTTCAGGAACCTGACGTGTTTGAACTAAAAACCTCCTCGTGTTGTGATGGTTGGTAATCCAGCAATATTGGCTGTTAATGCACTTGTATGTCCAGGTATGTCCAGCTCCAGTGATTTACCTGGAGTCACGTAACAATGTTCCACTTGCACCAGGTAGGTCCAGGTGTGTCACATATTTCTTATGTGTGTTAGGAGGTTTGGAAAAAGGCTTTCTACGTCTAGTTTTTATGTATTTCAGGTATGTTAGAGGTTGTCACGATGACCTGAATCATGTGGATTTAGGCCGGTTTAGGGGAAGTTTTGTCATGAGGTATCACAGGTGAACTTCAGATCTGGCCCGGTCAGGGTATGTAGAAACATTTTCAGCTGTTGCTCTCCATGGTACAGGTTCACGGTATATTAGTGTGTGGTATAATAAAAATTTTCAGGATTTAATCAGTTGACAGAAGTTACTTCAGGCATATTTGAGATCAGAATTTCCAGGTGTGTTTCAGGTATTTCAGAGGTCTTAACAAACATTTCTGGGCTTTAATTGGAGGTAACGGGTGTATTCTAGTGCATCATGTGTGGCCTAAGAATCTAGAAGCACCTTTTAGCTGTTACTGTGTGTTTCCAGGTGTGTTTAAAGTATAAAAACACCATTCAGGTATAAATTGTGGGTCAAGGATGTGTTTCAGGTTTCCTAAAGGGGATATAGTTGCAGGATCTGTATTGTGAGTGAAACTGTTAGAACCCGGGTTTCACGCTGCTGGTCAGTGCGTGGATGGGTTATCAGTATGTCAGTGGGAGGCAGTCTGAGCGGTCAGTGGTTGAAGAGGCAGTACAGGATAGACTCATCCCCCGTCCCGCACCACAAGGTTTGTTATTTGTCTCTGTGACGTCCTGTTACGTTGTTTACTGTGTGCTTTTTTGTTTCAATACAAAATAATTTCTCAAAACCCTCCAGCTAAAAAACAAAACAAAATTCTAGACCTCATCTTTTGCTTTTATAAAAGTAAATGATATACCTTAGTCTGTTTTAACTCGATAAAAGCTTCCCAAAATCCTCTCAGATTAAAGGTGAGGTTCCTCAGGGACTGATCTTAGGGCCACCTTCTTTTAGTCTTAATGTGTTTTCCTTGATTGTATTTTTTCTGTCCCAATGCTGATGATATTCAGGTTTATGTGGGACTTAAGAACATTTTTATAAAGGTTAATTTTTTGGCTCTGTCTGTAATATTTCCAGTCATTTAAATTTCCTGTTTCTAAACATATTTAAAATACTGACAGTGATTACTTCGGTGCAGCAAAATTATTTATCTGTGTGTCCTAATTCACTTCCTCAGATTGTCGGGATGCTGATGGAGCTGGATGCCATGAAGGTCCAGTATGAGAGAATGGTCTCAGATCTGCTCCACTGGATCAAAACCAAGGTACCAAACACAACATAGGATGACCTTGAATCTTCGAAAAAGAGCTGAAGTTTGTCACAGCTGAACTTGTTTATTGATCATCATTTGATTAAAGGTGGTGCAGCTGAATGACAGACGGTTCCCGAACTCTGTGAGGGAGATGCAGAAGCTGATGACGGCTTTTAAGACGTACAGGACGGTGGAGAAACCGCCGAAATATCAGGTAAGAACATCTTCACGACGTTCAGAGGAACACCTTTACCGCTCCTCTTTTCAGGAGTTCAGGTTATTTCTCAGTCTTCAGGTCAGATCTGTCACTTTCTCCAACACATGGGACGATTGTTTCTAGTGTCAGTGGAAACATAAACGGATGCTGTCAGTTTGAAATACTAGTTTCAGAGACCTTTGATCGGTCTTGGTCTCAAGAGCATTTTTACACAGTCTTGTCCGGGTGACAGACTGGGTGGACTCAGGATTTTAAATCAAGACCGGTCAAGACCACCACTGATAGGCTATTTTTAAATCATTACTGTGATAAGAAGGTTACAGCTGCAACCTTCCCGGTGTTACGATCTAAATTAGTAAAACGCTTCCGAAACAAAAGATGAGGATTTTACTTGATATTATGGTCTTGGTCTTGTCTTGGTCTCTGAGCACTCTGGACTTGGGTATGTCTTGGTCTCGGCTACTGTGGTCTAGACTTCAACACTATGAAATATCTTAAAGTTGTGCTTTGTTTTTGCTCTCCCTTGTTTGCTAAATGAATGTTTAGTTTTGTTTCTCTGGGTGGATGTTTCAATGCTCTCTTTATTTATGTTTTTATACGTCGTGACATGTTTGTGTTTCTCTCTCTCTCTCTCTCTCTCTCTCTCTCTCTCTCTGACTTCAGGAGCGTGGGGCAATTGAAGCTCATCTTTTCAGTTTGAAGACTCAGTTGGCGGCAAACAACCAAAGGGCTTATAATCCTCCAGAGGGTGATTAACAAGCTTATTTAATCAGATACAAACTCAGCAAGGTACCACAAATAAAGACAGATATAGGCTTCATTCTTCAAGGAAACAGGGGAAAGAGAGCGGGGAATGACAAGCTGGCAGGCCGGATTCCAACCTGGACCGCCCGCTTGGGGGACTGTACCCTCATGGGGCGGACAGATAGACCATCTGCGCCCCAAGCTCGCATTTAAGCTGGTCCTACTAAAATGTTTTTCTCTGACTAACTTTCATGACCGAGAACCAGTGTGATCTGATTTCTAATTTGTGTTGTTCTGTGAAGGTAAAACCCTGAGTGACGTAGAGAAGAGCTGGGTTTTGCTGGAGAGAGCTGAACACGAGCGTGAGCGAGCCCTGCAGGAGGCGCTGCTCCGCCTGGAGAACCTGGAGCAGCTCGCCCAGAAGTTTGAGAGGAAGGTAAAAACATCTGTCTGTAAAGCACGACACTGATTTACATCAAAACTTCTTTAATTTAATGAGTTTGTTTTCTGCAAATGATTTTCTCTGAAAAGTTTTGACTGCAAGATAATTTGACCAAAACACATTTTCATTGATTACTTTGTATTTCTCTTTCATATTTCTGAACCTAAATAGGTCTCATGTCTAAGATATAATTAATATTAAGAATAGTTGAATCACCTCCGTACTGCTCTTTAAACCTCTTAAGGTCAATGTTCTGTTTGTCTGCTTGCTCAGGCAGCACTAAGGGAGGGGTATCTGGAGGACACACTGCGTCTAATCCGCAGGCAGGACATCCGAGGACTCTCCACCCTGGAGGAGGCTCAGGCGGCTGGCCGCCGTCTGGAAGCTCTGTCCACCGATGCGTTGGCCAGAGAGCCGCGCTTCACTGCTCTGAGAGACATGGCAAAGACGATCGAGAGGGAAAACTACCACAGCAAGGAGCAGATTATCAGGAGGTGAGAGAATAACCCCCCCCCCCCCCCCCCCCACTGCTTAAATTAGATTCTGGTAGAAAGGTGAAGGACTGAATGTTTATTAACACGACTTAAACATCAAACTCAAAGGATTGGTCAGGTCAAGCTGTATGAGTAGTTCACTGTAAAGGGAATTCAGGTATTTTAGAACCTGGAATGTTTTCCAGTACCCTCGAAAACACAGAATATATAATGAAAGGCACAGGTTTAGAAATCTTTGAATATTATGAGAAAACAAACCTCAAAGACATAAGGATCATCACTTATCGACATGTTTCTAATAAGCTGAAAAATGGAGAGAGGTTAGAACGCAGAAAGGTTTACAGACCGATGCAGCGCTGGCTAATCACTGAAGCTTCAGCGCCCACCACATGGCAACCTGCGTGAGCATCAACTCTAGAGAGGAGGGGGCGGGGGGAGAGGGGAGACAGCTCTCTATAATGTTTTGAATTTGGACTGCAGTACCCATTTTAAACACTAGGTGTCAGAGTTACATACTGCTCCTTTAAAGCAGATATGAATGACTGTTGTACACATATTTGTACATTTGTGTGTGTGTTTGTAAGAGAGGACAGCATCAGTCATCGATGGAAGGACCTGCTGCAGCAGCTCCAGGACCAGAGGGGGCTTCTGGGAAATGTAGTTGATAATCTCAGCATTCTCAGAGACATTGAGCTCGTCTACCAGGAGCTGAAGGAACTGCAGGTGAGTTCACGCTCTACCTATAAAAATGCAGTCTGTTACAGAGGAGGATACTGTGCATTCATGTAAAAGATGTCTCTTTCCTTCTCGCTTTCTCCAGACTCAGGCCAGCTCGTCTGATCAGGGCAAACAGCTGGCCGAGGTGGAGTCCCTCCTCCAGAAGCAGGATCTCCTGGACGCCCAAATCTCAGCTCACGGTGAAACCATCAACAACATCAGCAGCAGAGTCCTGAAGGTATGACTGGTTATCCTCATCTCCTTATTTTACTCATGTACTTGTCTGAGTTCTTACTCCACAGCCAAGGAAAGTTTTCATCCCTCTCTTTGGCGTTTCTTCTCAGGTGAAGGTGAAAGACGGTCAGCAGATTCAGAACAGAGTGAGAGCTCTTGACACTCAGTATAAATCTCTGGTGTCCCTCAGCAGCAACAGGTACACGTTGTTGATCACCTTTAGCAGAACATTCAGTATTCGTCCACTTTACACTATGTGTTCATCTGTCCTTTCACTGTGTCTTTACTTTTCATCTCATCTCCTCTTTTGTTTCCTTGTTTCCTCTCTACTCCACTTCTATCCTATTCCCTTGTTTCTCCTCTCCTCTCCTCTCCTCTCCTCTCCTCTCAGGAGGAGACAGTTGGAGGCTCAGCTGAGGTTGTTTGAGTTTTTCCACGATTGTGAGGAGTTGGAGGCGTGGCTTTATGAACGCTGGTTGCGGCTTCAGACTGTTGGACTCGGACGAGACCTGAACCACATCCATCTGGCCCAACACAAACATAAGGTGCTTTTTAAAATTCATATTTATAGTTTTGTTTTTGCTTTATTAGAATTAAAAAAAAAACTCAAGTCATAAGGACTCCCAGTCAGCAGATCTCAGCTTAAACTTATCCTCTGACATCCTTCAAGTCCTTTCAATCTGTTTTCTGACGAAAACATGTCAAGACAATCATTCCATAATCTTCTCGCAGGTTTTGGAGGCAGAGCTTCAGGCTCAGGAGACCCTGTACCAGGGGGTTCTGGGTCGAGGTCAGGATCTGCTGTCCAAACAGGATCAGGTGAACCAGCGGGCCATCCAGAAGTGGATCCGGACTCTAAAGAAACAGTGGAGCAACATGAGCGACGAGGCGACCGCACACCGCAACAGACTGCAGGCGGCCGCCACCATCAAACAGGTAACAAATTAACCAAACAGGTGGAGACATAAAGAAGGAAAGGTGGATTTTGTATTTCCTTGTACAGAGGAAAGTGCTCAAGGAACAGAGTGCCGATGGTTCTGACGGTGTAGTCCGTCAATCCGTCATCAATGACACTCATGACACAGCCGCTTGTGTGCGAGTCCAAAATTAAACAATTCAATAATACAGCCACCTTCACTTTCTCACAGCTGAATACTTCTTCTATGTTCAGTACTTTGCAGACGTGACAGAGGCTGACTCCTGGCTGGGAGATAGGAAACCGCTGCTAACCAGCGAGGATTGTGGGAAAGATGAGTCGAGCACAGAGGCGCTGCTGCAGCGTCACCTGCGTTTGGAGAAGGAAATGGCGGCCTACGGTTCAGAGATAAAGAGACTGTGGGAGCAGGCGAGGAGCGCCGCACAGCTAACGACCCTGACTGTAGGTCAAACTCATATCATTCAGTGATACTAACTCCTCCCCCTCTTTTCTGATCTCTATGACCATAATTGACTAAATGAACATGATGCTCTGTTGAAGAAGACTTGAAACTTGAAATCTTCAGAAAATAAACTTGAAAAATATCAGACTACAGTTTGTTACAACCAGTGGAGTCGCCCCTTGCTGGCCGTTAGATTTAAAGCAAGTTTAGTTCACTACCGTATTGATTTAATTTTTAGACACTGACGCTTCATGTTTAGGTGGAGACTCAGCAGAAAACCATGATTCAATACAGTGATTCATCTGGAGAGGAGGAGGGGCCAGGAACAATGACATCACTGCCACGCAGGTCTCGAGGTGGGAGGGGCTCTGGGAGCTCCGCCCCTCAGAGAGAGGACAGCAAAGCGAAGGTCCGCTTCAGATACAGCAGAGGTAAAAGAGAGCCTTCTCTGAGTCACTTGATGGGAATGATTCAAACAATTAAGAAGCGGTCATTAGAATGACTCTTTAACACGGTGAGCTTTTGTGTCGACTGCAGGTCAGTATCAGTGGGATCGAAATGAGCTTGTGACCATCATAAGCACAGAGCAGGATGAAGATCGAGTCCTGGCTAGAGACAGCCGAGGAAACCAGCAGCTTATCCCCAAAGCATGCCTGAGCATCCTGCCGGCGTCTGTAAGATCACTGATCAATGAAATTCAATTTACAACAGTAATCATCTTTACCTCTCAAATCAGATCCCTACGTCAAGAGTTTTCCATATATTAATAAAATGTTTTGGTTAATGATGAGTCTAATCATCCTCAGTCACTACCTAAATGTCCTCACTTCTCTCAGGCTCCTCCCCCCACCCCAGCCGCCTCCACCAATGGCGTGCCTGAAAGCTCGAGCAGGAAGCTAAGTTGCCCGAGGAGAAGGCGCTCGATGCGCCGCAGCACGACTGAGATTCAGACAACATGGCTGCTGGACCCTCAGTACCAGAGAGAGACTGTAGAGAGCACTCAGGCCAGCCTGGACCAGGACTACAACTTCCTGTACAACCTGGTCAAGGTGAGAGAGGGGCTGCATGGGAAATGTAGTTTATTTGTGTGTCAACATCAAAATAAAACATCAAGGTGGTCGGATGAGGATAAAGCAAAAAGAGAAGTGTAGAGCTTGGAGCTTCTTCATTTTTGCCTGCAATTTTGGATTATTCGGTGCCTAGGTCTTCTATTTATGTTTCTGTTTAATCTAAACAGCTATTGATATCATTTCATTTTTACTAGTATCAAATCTGTGGTAATGTGACAGCCCTACTTCTGTAAAAAGTGAAAAGTTCATCACACATGTTTTTGTGTTTGCAGTCGAAGATGAGGAGTCTGGAGGAGACGCTGCGTCTGCATCAATTCTATAACAGCTGTCAGGAGTTTGAGTCATGGATGGAGGACAAGGAGAACATCCTGAACACCTTCAGCACCGACAACGACATCCTGGGAGTCGTCCAGGCCAAATACGAGGTGGAGAGTTTGAGCAGCAACACAAACACAGACTCAGACTTATTATCTTAACTATATCTATAACTTTGCACTCTATGACCTTCTTTCCTTCAGAACACACTTAGAGTGAGAGTTTAAATATTTAAAGGGCTATTTCACCCGTTGAAACATAAATCTGACATTGGGTCATATATGTAGTAAAAATGTGCAATTAATTTTGAAGTTGGTGCCTTCTTTGCCGAGAAAAGGCAGAAAGTGTCTTTTTGGCTCATGTGGATGAAAGACACCGAATCCCAGAATGCACAGCACCGCAGGCCACTCCCACTAAGGTCCTCGATTTCAGAATCAGAAAGAATCTGAAATACTTTATTAATCCCAGAGGGAAATTCGATCGTTACAGTTTCTCCAGAATATCCAATATAGCAGTAGAAATATAGTAATAAAAACATTTACAGACATATTTACTTCAACACATAAGGCCATTTCCTCAGCTGATTCCGAGATTTCTTCCAGAATTGATCTTGGAAATTCCTGGCAGAAACCAGACTCTATGTCTGTGTCCATAGGCAAACAGTGAGAGCACTGACACTACCAGTCCACCCCAGCTCGAGCCGGCCCCGGCTCCTCGTCCTCACCGCCGCCGACAGGCAGGCCTTATGTCTCGGCTGCTGAGCCGGCAGCAGCCATCTCGCCACTATATTTATATTTTTTCGCCATTATCAGCTTTCTCCATAGAGCCTGTTAGCATAGCTTCCAAGCAATATGGTGGCTGTTAAGTTTGGATTCTGGGAGTGAGTTCCCACCCAGTGATCTGTGATTGGTCTGTAGCTCCAGTGGTCAAAAATATGAGGAACTAGCATTGCAGTTTCACCTCGCTAACTGCAACAGCTTCCAGTGACTCAAAAATCGTCATTTTGCGTCACTGGAAGCTCCTTTTCAGACTTAGAAATACAAAGATTTCCCATCTGAGGGGAAAATGAGGGAGGGATGCACAACCATTCAAAAATTCTACCAGGTTCCTAATGATACAAAGCTTAATGCAAATGGGTGAAGTATCCCTTTAAATGTAAGGTATTGCCTTTACTAAAGGAAACTTCCTATTTTAAGAACTTCCTGACTGAGTTGGTGAGTGGGCGTGGCCAGCTGGATGACATCATCAGAATGGCTGAGGAGCTGGTGAAGAGCCGACACAGTAAGCAGAGAGAGATTCAGGCCCGACAGAGGAAGGTCTCCAACAGGTGCAAACATTAAAGATCTGTCAGAATATGATCTGCCAGCCAAGTGATGCAGATGATAATTAGAAGCGTCCACTTGCTTTGTCTTCATTTAAAAATAATAATACTGTGAACAGACTGATTACAGCTCTGTCCCTGGTGTCTGCAGGTGGGATCGGATCCAGCAGCTCAAGGATGAGAAAGGACATAAGCTGCTGAGCACGGCAGACGTTCAGACGTTTCTTCAGAGCTGCGAGGAGGCTAAAGTTCAGCTGCAGGGTCAGCTGGACCGGCTCGACACTGTGGACGTGGGCTGCAGCTCCTTCACCCTGAGGACCGAGGAGGAGAACCAGACCCAGGCCCTCAGAGACATTCAGATCCTGGAGGGCAAGATCGCCTACCTGAAGAGCATGGCCAAGATGTATGTGTCGAACTTCGACTGTTAAAACAACAATATTTTCAAAGCTGTTGATTGTATACTGCATCCAATTAAACAGCCAGCTGGTCAATGTTTTTTCATGTTAGCTGCATCTTGAAGTCCATGATACATTTCCTGTCACAGGAAGCAGGATTGCAGTCCAGCAGAGAGAGCAGCCATCGAGGAGGAGGTTCAGACTCTGGAGGCTCTGCTGAGTCAGGTTTGTGTGAAACTATCTTTAAAAAAGGAATGTCGGCTTAAGAGGTTTCTCTAAGACCCATTATATCTGATCCCTCTCCTGTTTTGTTGTGGAGCAGCTGAAGGGTCAGGCTGCAGACAGACAGCAGCTCCTGGAGGAGGCTCGTCGGCTGCAGAGCTTCCAGCGGCAGACGAAGGAGCTGCAGCGCTGGACGGGATCAGTGCAAGACCGTCTTCTGCAGGAGGAGACAGCGACTGACGTAGCCTCAGCCGTCGCTCTGCTGGAGCAACACCAGGAGCTCCGGCTGGAGATGGAGGAGCAGAAGAGGAGGTGAGAACTACTGAGAGTTTAGTTCTTTTGGTTGAGCTTTGACTGAGATTTGAACTTCACATAAAAGCTCCCCATGATTTATTTTCACTGCAAATTACCCGTTTGTGTTCCTGCATGTCCTCAGGTTAAAGGAGATGCAGAAGTTGGGGAGGTCTCTTCAGCAGGGCTCGTCCAATGGGACGACAGGGGGTGTGGACATCCAACAGACCATGGACAAACTTGATGCCGATTGGTCCAAGCTTGACAAGATGTGGACCAGTAGAAAGGAGCGTTTAGAGCAGGGGCTGGAGCTCCAGAGGCTGAACCAGGAAGGAGACCGGATTGAGGCGGCGCTGTCCGGTCACGAAGCCCGACTGAGGGTCCAAGACGTTGGGGTGAGGACGTTTCACTTTCATCTGTTTTCATTGTCCATCTATGAAATCAAAATCTGACTCTATGTGTTTGTTGCTTCAGGACTCGGTGGACAGCGTCCACGGTCTGCTGGGTCGACAGCACGAGCTGGAGGGTCTCCTGAAGGCTTTGGACCAACGAGTGGATCACTTCACTGAACGCAGTCAGGAGCTCTTAAACAACCAACACTACGCTGCGAAACAGTAAGAGAGCAGTGACACGTCTCACGATATCACGTGAACATTTCCCTTGATTTGAATGCAATAAACTGAATCTGAGGAAGCTGTTAAAATGTACCAAACAGAATCTAAACCAGACTGCAAGTTTAATAAAAATCATACCGCATAAGTGATAGGCCGTTGGTTGGGGTCACAGTTTTGTGGTCACTACCTATTTATCATGTATGTCATGCTGTTTTAAAAACACTGAGCTCATGTTTTAGCATCAAGGAGAGGAGCAGGAGCATCCAGAAGGCCAACAAGAAGCTGAAAGAGAGCAGCAGGCAGAGGAGGAGTCAGCTGCTGGCCTCAAAGAAATATCAGGTATGTCTGTCTGTTATTATTATTTACCTGACCATGACTATTGTAGGGTTAAATATTAAGAAACGAACAACTGTGTTTTGTTTTTGCCCTGATGTCGGCCCTGGTTCAGAGGTTCACTAGAAGGGCTTTAAAGTCAGAAACAGGAAACATTTAGTATTTCTATAACTTCATATTTTAATGTGAAATCAGTGATTCTTCATATTTTCTGATTTTTGGTGCTTTAGGAGTTCCAGAGAGATTCAGACGAGCTGCTGCTGTGGATGGAGGAGAAGTTCAAGGTGGCGGAGGACGAGTCGTACCGAGACCCCACCAACATCCTACGGAAGCTGAAGAGACACGAGGCGGCTGAGAGGGAGATGCAGGCGAACCAGGTCCGGCTGGACAGACTGGTCCAGGTAAACAGCCGCTCACTGGTTCCCAGCGTCATGACGTACAGTTCATATAGCTCAGGAAATTTAAATAATATCTGTCTCTGGTCAGCTGGCGGAGCAGATGCTCGCTGAGGAGCATTACAACAGTCAGAGCATCAGGAGGAAGTCCACTCAGGTCAGCAGCCGCTGGAGGAGACTTCAGGACAAGATGGCCGACAGAGGAGACAAACTGAGACAGGCGGGACAGCAGGAGCAGCTGATGGAGCTGCTGCAGGTAAACTCTGAACCATTGACATATTTAACCAGTTCTGTCTTTAACTGATGAGAAACTAATCAGCCAGATGTTGGATTAATTGACTCGTTAGGAAGCTGAAAATATCACAATAACTACAATACAACAAACAAACAAACAAAGGGATTGGAATAATTTATCAACATTTCTTGTCTTGCAAATTAAAGGCTTGTTATGTAGAGAGAAGATCATGTAATGAATCTCTGGTTTTATGAAAGCTAAATTTCTCTCCTCAGGACGCTAAGCTGAAGATTGAAGCCATCCAGTGGATGCTGAATAACGCGGCCAAAGGTCACGATCTCCGGTCCAGCCGACAGCTTCTGAAGGTGATACACTGAGGCTGACACTCATTGAGACATCTTCCTGTAAATTAAATCTGTGGTGGTACAATGTGGAGCCTGTTTCATATGAGCTACCTCCGCCTTTCTGTCTGTGTAAAGGAGCATCAACAGCTGGAGCAGGAGGCCAAGGAGCTGGCGGAGAAGATCAACTCCATCGTCAGCAGAGCCAAACACCTCGCCTCCAATCACTTCGACTCTCAGAGGATCCTCCGGGAGACAGAGACGTACCTCACACTGTGAGTTAATTGTTTCCACTTATTCTATGAAATATCTTAAGCCGGACGTACACTGTATGATTTAAGGCCGATTTTTGTTGTGTGACAATCTTGATGTCGGGCAGAATTCCACCCTGATCACATGTCATTAGTCGTGCAGTGTACATTGATGCACAACGGCCAATCATGGCCTGATCAGCTGCTCCCGACCAGTCTGAAGATTTTCTGGCATGTTTGATATTTTGGCTGTATAACTACACACACACTCACACAGTGAGAGCTGAACCATGAGCTGATTCCCCGACTTAAGGACACGTTTTTCCTGATTGTGTCCACACAAGTGACAATGATGACCACATTTGTAACAAAGATATTTTACTGTTGGATGTATTTGCCATAAAGCAGAAATTTTGATCTTCAGGTTCAAGTCTCTCCAGAAGCCTCTGGACCGACGTCGAGCTCAGCTGGAGGCGTCGGTGCTGCTGTTTGGGTTTTATCACGACGTGGACCTGGAGCTCAGTTGGATCTCTGAACACGTTCCACCACCGGGATCAACAGGATACGACAAGTCTCTGGCTGGAGCCATCAGCCTCATGCAGAAACACAAGGTACCCGCTTTAATACAGTAAATTAAGTCTGTAAAAAAAACTTCAAGAAAACAGAATACTTTCAACTCTAAAAATGTGAATAACAGCTAAAACAGAAAACCCAAAAAGTGTTTATTCCAGATCTGTGTGTATCTTCTTCTAGGAGTTGCAGGCAGAAGTAAACGCCCACCAAAAATACCTGAATCATGTCCTGGAGAAGGGGCGGAGCCTGGCCAAATCCAACAAATCAGATGGACAGGAAGTGCTTCAGAGGTGCAGTCTTGTCTCTTCTTTTGAATGACTCCAAAAATGTTCTTTTACTTTTTATTTCAAATTATTTAACTTACAAAGTCATTGACTCTTTGCAGGTGCAGCCACCTGTGCGCAGAGTGGGAGGAGCTAGAAGAGGTCTGCAGCAAAAGAGCAGCTCATCTGAGCAAGGCAATCACCAGAGAACAGGCAAGAGGGAATCCCTTGATCCCTTCTCTCCTTTGAACGCCTCTGTTACTACCGCTGAGAGAACTTTTTATAGCATGTGGTTTCATAAATATGGAAGTATTGAAAGTTTGATAACCTTATTTGAAAATGGGATTATACTTATGGTTGTATCTTTAAAAGTGCTAAATCAGGCACAGCAACAATCGTTACCCTTATATTTACTTTAAAGCCCTCATAGTTTGCAACACAGTCACCTCATTAGCTGACAGTAAAATGTTTTTCTCTGATATGCAACAAGTGTAAATTTGACAAACTGTTTCGATGTATTTTGTTTTGAACTTTCGTTAAATCTGAATGATGTGTAGCTGCTGTTGGACTGCTCAGAGCTGGAGTCCAGGCTGACCGAGACACTCAGTTTGGTGAAGACAGACGACTACGGCAAAGACCAGCTGGCCACACAAAGTCTCATCACCAAACACCAGGTACAAAACACACACACACACACACACACACACACACACACACACACTAAAAATCTTAATTTAAAATCTGATCCCTAACAGTAAAACTAAATTCTACTGCTTCACTTTTTCTTTAAGCCTCTTTCACTTTTATTAAACCCTTAAATATGAAGCTTATTTCCCAAAGCATGTCGACTTTATATTTTTTTACCAAACCCTCACAAAATGCATGATGGGAAAATTAATGAAGCAATAAAGCTCAATGTGCCAGCATGTTGTATTTGACCCCCAAACTCTTGGGTTACTTTGTGCATTACACTTTTTTCTCTGGCCTTAAATTGATGTCATTCAGATAACATGATTTTCTTATGATTTTCTTCAGTTCCTCTTGGAATTTTGTTTTATGAAAAGTGCTACATAAATATATCTGATGATTGATTGATATGACTCCCTTTCTGCAGGTGCTGGAGGGTCAACTGGAGGTGCTGGAGGTGGAGGTGGAGGAGTTAGGAGACCAGGTGGAGCAGGCGGTGCAGAACTGGAGACTGGAGGAGCTCAGCCGGCCGTACAGTCGTCTCAGTAGTCTGAACCAGCAGCTGCAGCATCAGGCGGCTCTCAGGTAAATACTGACTCTCTTTATCACACACAATCCTCTTTAGCTTCATACAGAGTCTCTGTGGCCGTTTGTCACGGTTGTTTTGTGTTTGTCATGTCAGCTTTGTCTAACTGTCCATGTGTTTCCTGGCAGGGGTCAGAGGTTAAAAGAAGTCCTCCATCTGCACGAGTTCAGCCGAGAGTCCTCAGAGTTGGAGGACTGGATGAACCAGCAGAGACAGACAGCAGAATCCCAGGACCTGGGCAATGACTACCAGCATGTTCAGGTTAAATCTCATAAACAGAGACTCATAGATGGATCTGAAAGCCTTTGACAAATTTACCTGTGGCAGTATGGTTGTATTGTCCTGCTTAATGTTACCTAAAGATGTTAAAGATTGGTATGTGTTTGTGATTTTCGTTGCAGCTGCTTCGTGGGAAGTTTGAAGGCTTCCTGAAGCAGCTGGAGGTTGGAGAGGACAGACTGCAGAGCTGCAGCGACCTGGCAGCCGGACTGATCCCCAACAAACATCCTCAGAGTGCTGCAGTCAGAGAGACGCTGCTGCAGCTCAGGTACACACACGGTGTCAGAGAGTCAGCGGACATGTTGTTAAGAAGCACATTTTTAACAATCTGACACCACTGCAAAATAATTAAAAATGTTCTTTAAATATTAACGTGGACTTACAGCTTTCAACGAGGATTGCGCAATTCTAAACGGTGCATCAACAAAGTTTCCACCTTATCCTCATGCTGCCATTTTGAAAACATCCCATGTCTCAAAGAATTAAATTTAAATTAAATCTTAAATTCCCGTGGCTGAACGAAGCACCTGTGAAGTTCAGAAAGGAAAACTTTTTGCATGGTGTTATTCTGACATTGTTTGCAGTGCATGCTGGGAGGATTTGAAGGGCGTGGCCAGGGAGCGACGGGATCAGCTGCAGAGAGCTGAGGAGTGTCACTGCTTTTATCAAGACCTGGCTGACGCGCTGACACTCATCAAGGTACAGAATCCAGCTATGTATACATCCAGACATCCTTAAACACAAACAGACGTGTTGACGTCTCTCTTTTTTTCTCTCTGTAGGAGCGACAGAAGAGCATCCCTGACGATGTGGCAAAGGATTTGCGTGGAGTTACGTCACAGCTGAGGAAACATGAAGCTCTGCTCCACGAGCTAGCCGCCACAGAGCAACAGGTAAACAGAGCGAGAGAGAGAAGCATGTTTCCTGTTGAGATGTTTTGATGATCACAGTTATGTTGATGTTTGTATTTTTTGCGGGTTGAAGTTGCAGGAGCAGTTGGACGCCATCGACCCCATCCTAGGTCTCTGCACTCCTCAGTTGAAACTCTGCCTACAGGAAGTGCAGCAGGAATTGGTGGAGCGTTGGGAAGAGCTCCGTCTCCAGGCAGAGAAGAGGGAGGAGGAGCTTAAACTGGCGTGCCAGAGATACCTGTTCCTCAACATGGTGAGGAGAAATTAATGAATGATCAGACATGAGTTTTGTGATTTGGTTTCTCTCATCTCACCCTTATTTCTCTGTTCCCTTCAGGCGAAGGATTATCTCCTGTGGTGCAGCCAGCTGATTGGAGGGATGGCGGCTGAGGAGAGCATCAGTGACGTGGCGACCGCTGACCTCCAGCTGGCCCAGCACCAGCAGCTGTGGGCCGAGATGGAGGCCAGACAGGAGACGTACCAGCAGGTTCTGGACGTGGGGGAGGAGCTGCAGACTCAGGACAGGAGAAACAGGAAGGAGGTGAGACTTAAAATCAATGTTTTAAAATCCAGTTTGGTATTGGAGGTGTCTAACTGATGTTTCTGCAGGTGTTGGAGAAGCTGCAGGCGCTGCAGGCAGAGCGAGACAAGCTGGAGGATCAGTGGAACCAGAAACAGACCTGGTTAGAGACGGTTCACCTGGAGCAGGTCTTCTACAGAGATGTCAACAGCATGGACAAAACCTCCAGCTCACAGGAGGTAACTCATACTCTGTTCTGCAGAGAAAATAAGAAACATCACACTCAGTGTCTCATCAGCTGTTTGACCTCCACAGATCCTGCTGCAGAACAGCACTCTGGGAAACACGGTTGATGAGACGGAGGGTTTGATCAAACGTCATGAAGCATTTGAGAAGCTGCTCAGCTCGCAGGAGGATAAGGTCTGCTCTATTTCTGTGTTTCACCTCGTCACTGCATGATAATGCAGGATGATGTTTGTGGTTTTTGAACTGAAAATCCCCTTGGTGTACCATATGGTCTACCATATCCCCCTGCACGTCTTACTTTATGCCTTGATCATCATGTTTCACTTGAATTTGAAAGCTCAAGTTTTTATTTTCTTCCTCTCCTGTGATTGGTGCAGCTGTCCTCTCTGAAGGAGCTGTCTGAGCGGCTGAAGTTGCAGCTGAGCAGAGAGAAGCGCGGACGAGTGAAATCCAAACTCAAGGCCCTCCTCCAGCGACGTGATAGGATCAAAGAGCTGTCCGTCAAACGCAGGGAAGCGCTGGAGCTCTCAAAGATGCTCTGTATCTTCAACAGAGATGTTGCAGAGGTACACAGATAACTGATGACATTTATGTATCACAATTAATCAAAGAAGACTGATATCAGATAACAGCTTGGTGGAATTTCAAATTAGTAATAGCTCTTCATTTCTAAGAAAGGTTGCTCCTTATTAGGTGCTAGAATATAACAAAAATAAAGATGTCTGTCTGTCTGTCAGGCTGAGGAGTGGGTTTCTGAGCGGATGCAGAAGATGGCAGAGGACGGTAAAGCTGACCTCAGTAACCTGCAGGCAAAGATGAAGCTTCTCCAGAAACATCAGGTGTTTGAGGCCGAGATCCTCGCTCACAGTGAGATCATCACTTCTGTGTTGCTGGTAAGGAACTGTAACAAGCGTGAAGATTAAAGTATCAGTATGTAGGAATTCTGTCTGGTGCCCTTTTGCGCCCATCAAAGGTCTTTGAGTGCAACTCTACTGTCGTAAAACACGCAGTACTGTTAAGACTTTCCCCTCATAGACAATTTGTATTTGTTGACAAGCAGAGGGTGGTGTTCTGAGAAGCTGAAGAACCATGTTGTCGGACAAGGTTCAGAAATGTTACCGGATTTTGTGCAAGGATTGAGGATTGAGCGGGCTTTCAGGAAAGAAAGGAAGAAATTTAAGTAATCTAAAAAAGGACTGTGTTTTTCGTTCGGTACTTACAGGCCGGAGAGAAGCTGGTCTCACTTCGTCATCCGAGGTCCAAGGAGGTGAAGAGGAGTGCAGCAGCCCTGGAGCTCCACTGGGAGGAGCTGAAGAAGGCGTTGGCTGTCCGAGGGAAAGCACTGGAAGATAACAGAGACTTCCTGGAGTTCCTGCAGAAGGTGGAGGAGGTGGAGGCCTGGATCAGACAGAAGGTAGGAGAGCGATGCATTGAGGGATTGTGTTTCTACTGTGTAATGGCTCTTTCTGACCTGTCTGTGTTTCAGGAGGTGATGATTAATGTTGGAGATGTTGGGAAGGATTATGAACATGGAGTTCAGCTGCTGAAGAAACTCAGCGAGTTCAGGGGAACGGGAGACGGGGTGAGGCATCAGTGATGGTCTTATAAATGTCTTGCATATGATTTTAAATCAAGTTAGACAGACCTTAGTTGACCCTTAGTCGCCGTATGCAGAAGAGCACTATCACATCAAAATGAGCTGAAGGTTTCTTCACTTTGTAGGATGTGACGGTGGACGACGCTCACATCATGGCCATCAACAGGCTGGCAGCTCGACTGGAGAAGAGACAGAGTGATGAAGAGCTGAAGACTGTGAGACAGAGGAGACAGCAGCTCAATGACAGGTTACTAACTCATATCGAACATCCCCTCCTGTGGCTCCTTTTCTCTGTTTTACACTCGATACCTCGTGTCTTTCAGGTGGAGTAAGTTTCATGTAGATCTGAACAATTACAAGAAGAAGTTGGAGGGAGCACTGGTGGTCCATGGCCTCATTAGGGAGCTGGAGGAGGTCAGAGACAGAGCCAACGAGAAGGTCAGTCATCTAATATTAACTTAAACTGGCTAATCTGTTCAGACAAACATACATATAACACTGTTGTGATGTCTCCTTCTGAAGATGTTGCTGCTGCAAGGTCAGGACTGTGGTGTAGATGTGGACAGCGTGGAGAACCTCATCAGACGCCACGAGGAAACCGAGCGAGAGGCCGGGGTCATCCAGGAGAGGTCGAAGGTGGGTTTGAAGGATTTATTGTAAAATTCTCAAGAGCTTCTGAACTAAGACCATTTAGGGGTTTATGGATCTGCAGCTAAAGACATAACATTGATGCGACTTGCTGGAAGAAAATTTGGATTTAAAGTTTTGTGATTTAAGTTGGATCAAATGTATTTATCCATCTCTAACAGAGGTGATAGAGAGATGTTTTGTAACCTGTTTTGCACAAAACATCAGCAGCATGAATCACCTCCTACAAAGCAGCTTAAATTGAAAGAATCCAACTCATAATTCTTTCCGACCCCGGTGTTGGCATTGGTTGTCTAATAGCTGATGTTTCTTTTCTTAAACCGGGGGAAGTATTTAAATGTCAAAACTGAAATAAAAAGTTTGATACCATGTTTTTTCATTGTATCGAAAAACTTCAGATCTTCAGCCATATTCAGACGAGAGAGATCACTGTCTAAATTGCACTAATACTTTGGCCAGGTTTCTGCATCGAAACGTTGCAAACATATTTGTACAGTTTTTATAAAGAGTTTGCACTTAACGCACCTTTGACAGCGTCACTCTGTGGGGACTTTTTTTTCCCCTGTTTGAATTGTAATAAAAAGAAACATAAGAACATGAGCTGATTAAATATCAATCAGAGTGTCTGCCTGTAGAGTAAAGCTTGTCCTTCTCATCCTCTCAGGTGCTGGAGAGGGAGGTGTCAGACCACCTGAGGGATCGATCCGGGATGAGCGACAAGCTGAAGGACAAACAGAAGGAGGTCCAGAAAGTGCTCAAGACTCTGGATAAGGAGGTGAAACAAAGGTGAGGGAGAAAGAGTTTAAATAATGTAGACTTAATTTGATTGATTTAATTGCGGTTGATTATTTTGCCAAAGAAAGATGAGAAAAGCAAACGGACTCATGTGACACGTTGTTTGCTCAGGAAGGAGAAGCTGCAGGAGGCTCATCAGCTGCAGCTGTTCAAAGCCAACCAGCGCCTCCTGCTGGAGTGGAGTGTCAAACAGAGCAGTGAGATGGCAGAAAAAGGACTTCCAAATACCCGAGCCATGGCCGACCGGCTCATCAGGGAGCATCAGGACTGGAAGGTGAGAGGCGTCTTTAAAATGCAGACTGTGTGTGGTTGAGTTCTGCTATAGATCAGATGTGAAATAAACAAAATTAATTTGAATTCTGCTGTTTGTATTTACAGACGGAGATTGATGCCCGTGCTGAGCGCACAGACTCCGTTCGGGACTATGGTCTAGGGCTCATCCGGTCTGGTTGCAGTTTGAAGGCAGAGATCCAGAAGGCTCTGAACCAGCTGGAGGAAGCCAAATCTGGACTGGACCGAGCCTGGCTGAACCGAAGCACGACTCTGGAGCAGGCCCGAACCCTGCAGGTGATAAAAGAACTACATTACAATATAACGCTGATTTGAATACTTCAACAGAATGTTCGTACATTCAGTTTGGTTTTAGATGCAGCTCATTAAGGCATGGCGAGTTTATAGATATACAAAAAAATATTTTAGATCTTGCTGAGCAGAACTGAGTCCATCTGACCTTTTCTCCCTCCTGCAGGTGTTCTTGTCCTCCGTCGAGCAGTGTGAGAGCTGGCTGAGTAACAAGGAGGCCTTCCTGTCCAACCAGGACCTGGGGGTAAAAACACTCACCTGTCAGCCCTCTGCAGAGAAACTTAAACTTTGTGCAAAATACCAAAAGAGCTGCTTTATTTAGGGAATCTCTATGAAAGCTAGTGCGCCTTAGCATCTCCTCTTGTGTTGGTGCAGAGCTCGGTGACAGAGGTGGAGACTCTGCAAAGGAAGCATGCTCAGTTTGAAGAGGCTCTGGAGGCTCAGGTGGACCAGCTGGAGCAGGTGGAGGAACTGGCCCAGAAGATGATCAAACAGAAACACTACGACTCTGACAACATCAGAGCAAAGAGCAGAGCGCTCAACACCAGGTGCTTGTACTTTTTTTGTCAGCGCTTCTTTTAAAGACTGACTGAGATGAATCCACAGCTAGTTTATAAAATACTAACGACGCTCTCCTCTACCAGCTTTGACATTGCAGCGATGAACACATGAATGTTATATAGTCCCTTCTGCAGGAGTGCTTCTACTTTATGTATACAGAATTTTTAACTTTGAAGGATTCTAGTTTCGATGCGTGTGTAGTTACCACGGCAACAAAAGAAGTAGCCCTAGACACCAAATATCGGGTAATTTATCGCTTTAATCACCAATAACTGGAGGCAAACTCCAGCACGCTGTCTAATTTATACACAAACATTGGCAACATTTCTTCTTCAATCTGAATGTTACGGAGGCGTAATGGGGGACAAAGTGATCCCCCCTCTGTACCGTCTTCCGAGGTAGTAACAGAGGCGTTACAGAGGCTAACGAGACGTTTCAGCGGAGCTAGCTGGGTTCACAGAGTGCTGTGTGTGTGTGTGCATGTCTGACTGTGTGTGTATGTCGCTGAATCAATATGAATGTACAAAGACGTGATGACAACTGAGCTTAGTTATGGCATTTTTGAGTGGAAAAAGCAGTCAGAAAAGGGCCCATGTTGACCTGTCTGTCTGTGTGAACACCTGTGTGTAGGCGGAGCCAGCTGCAGCAGCAGAGCAGATCTCGTCACAAAGCTCTGGAGCGATCTCTGCAGTTGCAACAGTTTTTATCCAGCAGCTACCAGGTAATGATTAAGCTTTCTTTTCCTGTATTTGTCTCCTTGTTTCCTGCTCTAATCAGTTTTTTTAATGTGTGTTTTCCAGGTGTGTGTGTGGCTGTACGAGCGTAACGCGGTGGCCTTGGATGAGAACTGGAGGGAACCAACCAACCTGCAGGCCAAACTGCTGAAACATCAAAGCTTTGAGGCCGAGATCCTCGCTAACCGATACAGAGTCGATGCACTCACCAAGGCGAGTCTGTTTTATATTTCTAATGCACAACTTTTTTAACAATGTGCTATTAATACTAGTGAGTGAATTTGTTGTGGGTGATGATGTCACGTCTGCGTGCAGGAAGGAGAGAAGCTTCTGGAGTCTCATTCAGCTGAAGTGAAGGTTCGACCTCGACTCCGAGAGCTGACGGAGAGCTGGGACGCTCTGATCCAGAACTGTAAGGAAAAGAAAACCCGACTGCAGGAGGCCTACCAGGTACGATAAACTCACACAACACACTGGAGTGTGTTTTACTTATACTGCAGTTTAATTATAATAACATATTAATGAAATGTCTCTAAACTAACCTGCGATAGGATATATGGTTCTCTTGTGTCATCGAGTGAAACAGTGTCAGTAAAATGGGTTTCAAACAGTCGCCGTGTGTGTTGTGTTCAGGCACTGCAGTTCCAGCGTTCCCTTGATGACATGGAGCAGTGTGTGGACTCAGTAGAGAGGGAGCTGACTAATGAGGACTGTGGAAGCGACCTGCCGTCCGTCAACAGACTCCTGAAGGCGCTGCAGGGGCTGGAGGAGGAGGTGGACGGACACAGGGACAGAATGCAGGTATTTTCTTTGCCGCTAAGCTTCTTTGCTTAGTTTCACTGTTGGTGATCAGTATTTAACCAAAACATTTTAGGACCTCAGATGGTTCCCTGTGGCACTCCTCCATATTGTGTGTGTGTGTGTTGTTCCTGGTGTTTGGTGATGAGACTTGGTGTGGCCAGCTGGTCTTTGCTGTAGTCGTCTGTCTTTATCAAACAGAGTCTTGGTCAGCCTGGACTCCAGCTCTGAGCAGTCCAACAGCGGCTACACATCATTCAGAATTTACGAAAATTCAATACAATATATGTCAAAACAGTTTGTCAAATTTACACTTGTTGCAAACCAGAAAAAATCATGGACTCTTTACATATCAGCCTCTACCATCAGTGTGTGAACGTGTAGGTGTGACCAAAGGCGCTTTGAGTCGTCAGAAATATACAATATACATTTACCATCCTGGCCTGAATTTGAGACCAGGCTTTAATTTAGCACTGTTTATCCCTGTGTGTAGTGTCTTGAATTGATCCTATTCTTTGTTATTTAACAGGCTCTGGTAGAAACAGCAAAGAGCTTCCACTCTCAGGGGAACTTCCTGGCTGAAGAGATCCAGATCCGAGTGTCGCACACCATCAACAGGTCAGAGAACTGTTCTTTGATTAATGAGAGGAAAGGCTGAGACGAACGTGTGAATCCCTTTTTCCTTCTGAAAGCAATGACAAAGGGTACCGGTAATTCTGTTTTAAATGGTACAAAGATTTAGTTTAACGGGTCAATTTTCAGTCTAGATTGAATTCTTGAGTTTCTTTTTAAAACTGATGCTAGAACTGATAGAAAACAACAAATAAAGACCTAAAAAGTTGACCTTTCCTTTATGTTGAACTTTGTTATAAACACAAATAGTCTGTAAATCAAATGGTGTTTGTGTGTGTTGTACTCTGTCAGATATAACAGTCTGGCGGAGCCCCTGCAGAATCGGAGGGACACCCTGGAGGCCTGGCAGGTTCTGTTCCAGTTCTACAGAGACGTGGAGGAGGAGGTGTCGTGGCTGGGCGACAGACTGCCCTCCATCATGGCTAAAGAGTGGGGGAGCTCGCTGAGCAGCACCCAGCAGTTGCTCCACAAACATCAGGTACACACTGCTGTTCAGTTATTAAAGATTCTGGTAAACTGTATTTAACAGTTTGAGAAATGAGGGACAAAAAACACAAGACAATTTTTTTTTTCTTTTCAGGCTGCGATGCAGGAAATCTCAGGCCGCGCCCCATTGGTTCAGGCTGTTCAGGAGGCGGGGCATAGTCTGGTGAGGAGCCGTAGTTAAGAGCTAGAAACTAACTCCATTCTTAAGTCAATGTACTGTATGTTGTAAAGGCACAGAGGATAACAAGGTGTCTGTTAACGGTTTTATTCTGTCCTCTGTCGCAGGTCAGAGCTCGTCACTTTGCGTCCCACGACATCCGAGAGCGTCTGGAGGAGCTGAAGAGTCTCCACGAGAAGCTGATGAGGGAAGCGGAGAGGAAAGGGAAACTCCTGCAGGAGGCGCTCAGCATCCACACCTTCCTCGCTGAGGTGACACTCCGACATAAACACAAATACATCAGAGGATTTTTTTGTTATTGTTGTGTCTAACATGTCTCTGTTTGTGCGTGGAGGTGTCTGAGCTGCAGCTGTGGGTGGACGAGCAGCAGACAGGTTTGGAGTCTCGGGACTGTGGGAGGAGCGAGGAGACGACGGAGACTCTGTTGAGGAATCTGGACTCTGTGGACGTGGAGCTGGAGAACCAGAGGAGGACGGTGGAGAGGCTGCAGGAGGGAGGAGCCTCGCTGCAGCACCTCGGACATCCCAACAGGTAAACTGACACTCCAGATGGTTACCTGTACAAATGGTCTCCATAAGGACTAAATATGTTTGTTTTGGACTTGATTTTTTTTGTTTGGTTTTAATCGTCAGAAATTTCCAAATGTTTTTAATCAGTTATTGTGTCTCCGTCTGTCTCAGCCACTTGGTTTCTGAGTCTCTCCTGGATGTCCTTGAACGCTTCGAGACTCTCCTCCGACTCTCGACCGCTCGTCGAGCAGCCCTGGAGGATCAGCTCCGCCTCTACGTGTTTGAGAGAGAAGCTAAAGAACTACAAACATGGCTGACCTCCAAAAAGACTCTGGCAGAGTCCAAAGACATCGGACAAGATCTGGAGGATGTAGAAGTGGGTCATATGACACTAGTTGACTTTTCTGAAGTATATGATTATAAGAACTCATAATGTCAAGATTTCACGGGTGCTATGATGATCTGAAAGCTCGTCATCTAGCTACTTCTTCTTCTGCTTCTTCTTCACATTTTATCCATCCGTCTGCAGGTGCTTCAGAAGAAGTTGGAGGTTCTGGTGTCAGAGATGTCGGGTCTGGGTCGGAGCAGACTGACCTCGGTGCAGCAGCTGTGCAGAGGTCTGCGGCAGGACGATCAGGCCCGGAGGAGAGACGACGCCCTGAGCGGTCTTTGGGAGGACCTGAACAGCAGCATCAGGACCAGAGAGCAGGTAGGACATGGAGATCAGGACAAACAGGTGTAGTACCTGCGGAGGAGAGGAGAGTAACAGTCTGTCTCTCTCCTGCAGGATCTGCAGTCAGCGAGGGAGATCCATCAGTTTAATCACGACGTGGAAGAGCTGAAGGGCTGGATGGCTGAGAAGGAGGCTGTTCTGGACTCAGAGGACCATGACCACGACCTGCACTCCATCAAGACTCTGCTGAGACAACACGAGACGCTGGAGGTAAAATAAAAAACATTTAATAAGTGACTCTAACTGTTTGAGGGTTTGGTTTTAAGGATTTGTTTTTTCATTCACTGAATCCACCAGATGTTTCGTAACTTTCATGAAACTCTCCGTCTGTTGTTTCTCTCCTCCTTCAGAGAGACCTGCTTCTGATCTCTGAGGAGCTGAAGAGGAGCAGAGAGGAGGGCCAGTCTCTGAGCAGACGACAGCCTCAGGCTCGACCTGCTGTGGCTCAGAGGCTGGAGGAGCTGGAGCTCTGCTGGAGCAGTATCCAGGACAAAACCTCCCAACGCAGGGCCAGACTGGGCCAGGCTGAAGACGTGCAGAAATACTTATCACACCTGACTGAACTTATGTAGGTTTAATTCTTGTTAAACGCCTCTTATATTTAATTTTATTTGATGAAGGAAACCCTGAATTGTTAATAATAATTTAAATCAACAACAGACAGGATGAAAAGTATCTAAAGCCCACAGTCCTGCAGGTTCAGTCTGATGTCTGTGTTGTCTCAGGGCCTGGCTGAGGGAGATGCTGTCTCTGGTACGAGGGGAGGCGCTCAGCGTGGAAGGGACCGACCTGGAGCAGCTCATTAAAAAGCACGAGGAGTACCGCGTGCAGATGGACAGACAGCTCATCAAATCCCAGGCTGTGAAGGAGGAGGGGAGGCGTCTGATGGAGGAGGGAAACTTCATGTCCAAGGAGGTGAGAAACACGACAGACACAAACATCTAAGAAGAGATCTGCTGTTACTTCACATCCTGATCTTTGTCATTTCCTGTCCTCCTCTGAGGTGGAGGAGCGTGTGTGTGAGCTGGAGGAGCTGGAGGTGCAGCTGCAGAAGGTTTGGGAGGAAACCAGGCTGCTGTATGAGGAGGAGCTGGAGATCTCACTCCTGCAGAGAGAGCTGCAGCAGGCGGAGCGCTGGCTGAGCTCCTACGAAAACACACTGATGGCCGAGGACTACGGGGTAAGTCCGGACCAGATTGAAGATGGTGCAGAACTTTAGGTGTAAATGTTTTCGACACTTTTAGATATCACATGTAATAAAAAAGATACTGTCTCTGTCAATTAGTGATTAATAGTATTGAAAAACTCTTCAGATCTTCATGAGACAGAGAGCAATGAACTGCAAAAATACATTTGCAATGTTTCATTAAACACATGTATGTAATTGAGACAGCGTGCATTTTTGATGATAAAAACGATCAATGACCTCTACTGGCTGTAATTTTGCTTCACTTTTGGGCCGATCACTGATAAAAACTGAATCAAATTTGTCCTTAATCGTGTCTTTGGTTCCCCTCAGGATTCTGTGTCGGACGTTATGGAGCTGCTGAAGAGGCAGGAGGACTTGGAGGCCATGATCCAGGCCCAGAGCGACCGCTTTATCGCTCTGCAGAAGAAGAAAACGCAGGTTAGTCGGGATGTAAAGATAAACAAACTGTAGATGCACTGAGCTGGGCGGGGAGAGAGATAAAGCGCAGGCGTGCGCTCTCTCTCTCTCTCTCTCTCTCTCTCGCTCTCGCTCTCTCTCTCGCTCTACCTGTGTCGCGCACGCAGCAATTTTATGAATAAATAGAAAATTAAATAAAAACAGTAAACACTGGGTTTAAAGAAACTAGAGTTTAACTTTAATTAGAGTTTTTTTTTTATCCTTTCAGAGGGAGAAGAGATTGAACCTTGTTGGAAAAGAAAACGTGGAATCTGAGGACAGAAAACTTCCAGCCAGAGTTTCATCTCTTCGGAGGAAACCTTCAGATCCAAAGCCGTCAAAGATCTCTTCCCCTAGAGACATCGTCCGTCGAGTCAGCAGCAGCAGGACGGTCATGCCGTCTGTGCTCGATAGGAAAACCAGCCTGACAACCTCGGCGAGCTCCACACCGAGTCCGTCTCTCCTCTCAGACTCGAGGAGAAGCTTCAGTGCGAGCAGGAAGTCTGTGGAGGCAGAAGACGAGTCGAGCAGTTCTTCTGAAAGTCCCAGCTCCAGCCCGACTCTGAAGTCCAGGAGGGGTCAAATCAGCCGCTCAGAGTCCTCCTCTAAAGCCCGTCCTGAGTCTCCTCCTCCCAAACCCCCCTCCTCCCCTCACACCTCCGTCTCTTCTCCTGAGGAGGAGCCACGACCCAGACCCAGATCTAAACCTCCTCTGGCTCCCAAACCCAGACTCTCCTCCACAGAACAAACAATTGAGCGTCACTCTGAGAATCTGACTACGCCACCTAAATCTCCTCCACCAATCAGAGCGCTCGTTGCTCCCACTGAGCCTCCTCCTCCTCCTCCTCCTGTCGCTCACAGATCCTCTCCTCCTCCAACAAGAAAATACCTCCATGACCTGCCTGAAGTTCCTGATCCTCCACCTGCTGCCACAGACGTTACCCCACCTGAGTCCCCACCTGCTGCACCAGCTTACCTCGCTCCTCCAACCAGAGCGCTGCCTCCTTCTCCTCCACAGCGACAGAGGGAGTTAGAGGAAGTACCGGAGGAGGAGCTTGACTCCAGACCAGAGGTACAAACCGTCAGGACTCTGTTGGTACTTTTAGATAATACCGATCATTAAAATAACAGAGATTGTATCGTTAAGTATTAAATGTTTTGACAACCTTAATTGGAAACTGATTCTTACACCTGTGCTGTTGTCCAGGTAACAGCAGTGCGGCCTATCAGAATGGAGGGGACGCTGGAGATCAAACTGAAAAAAGGTGGAAACAAGGTGAGAAATGTCTGAAATCAGATGGGACGGGGGATTTTTAAATGTTACCGTGTGAGATGGAAAAGTGAGATTAATACAAAAAAGTTCATTTGCATGCAGCCTGTGAGAGTTGGTGGGCGTGGCTAACAAGTGTGTCTTGTCTCTCCGTGATTGGCTGCTGCTTCTTCAGGGTTTGGAGCACTGGGAGGAGGTGTTTGCTGTCCTGGAAGGAGAGATGTTCAGCCTGTTTAAAGACAGAGAGGCTGTTGCAGAGGTACAAACACAGAAATCAAACTCAGAAAACACTAGAAGAAGAAGGTGTAACATCAACACTCTAGCCCTGTTCAGTTCATGTGTGTGTGTATGTGACTGTCTGTGTGTGTTGTACTTCCACAGATGGCCTCTATGTGGCCTCCTATCAACTTGGTTGGAACTGTTTGCAGAGAGAACATTTACTACAGGAGGAAGGAGCACACTTTCAAACTGATGTGAGTCTGCGGCATGACTTAAAATGTTTCACTCGTTCTGCCGGATTTTTTCTCTTAATTTCCTTGAGATCATAATTTTAGCCATTTGAAATGTTATGCACAAACTGTTCTCTGTGTGTGTTGGGTGTGTTTGTGTTTGTGCTTCAGACTGGAGGACGGCAGTCAGTTCTTGTTTGCGGCGTCCAGCAGAGACTTACAGCTGCTCTGGATAAAGAAACTCCAAAACGTCCCTGAATCTGCAAACAGCGACTCCGACGACTCAGGGTACACACACACACACACACACACACACACACACACACTCTTAGGGGGAAGCAGTAGTTCAGTCTGAGGGGACTTGAGAACCACAGGATCCCTGGTTCAAGTCCCGGTTCTGGAAACGAGTCTGGTTGCTGCAGAGGAGACAATTCACTTCCTGAGCTCTGTCAAGTTTCCTCTAGAGTGAGACACTGAACCCTGAACTCAGAGACTCGTCATAAAAACAGCTTCCGGTGAGACGAATAAAGTTTGTCTCCGGTGTCAAAGCTCAACATCTCAAACCACATTAGAGAATGTAGAAAACGAAACACTTTAACACAAAGTTAAAGGATGAATGTGTGACTTGTTGATCCAGTAGATGTTTGGCCACGCCTCCTCCGTACTGAAGCCTCCACTCTCCTCCAAAGACACACCTCCAACCCCCCTCCACTCATGTTCACACGGAGCAGTTATCAATTAAGCACCATTAAGCACAAGCGGCGGACAAAATCGTCCTTTGCTCGAGCTACAATCCTGTGTCCTGCATTGTTGTGTTAGCATAATGTTAGCGCTCTTTAGTTAGCTCGTAGCTTCACATTTCATGTAAACTGACACAGAATTAGCGTGATCTAAAGACACTTATGTGACATTCAAATAATCAGTGAGTATGTCCTTCTTCTTCTCTCTAGTCCTTGACTAAAACATCTTTTATACACAAGGGGAGGAGCCGGCCGTCCCGTCCATGTAAACACGGCTCTGACAACAACACAGCCAGCAGGACTCGAGCTTCTCCCTCATTGTAGAGAGTCATGACTCAGAGACACATTTACACAGGATAGACTTGATGTCTGATATATTCATGTGGAACATGTCACACATTCTTCCTCTAATACTCGGGCGTTGAAGTCGGCAGTGAATCCCTGAAAGTGTTCAAAGTACTCGATGGTTTTAAATAGAATTTGCAGCAATCACGAATCTTAACTCAGAAAGAAATGATTCATAAATCTTTCCTGCAGGCTGTCGGTTTTAAAAGTCACCCGGTTGTTCCTGCTTTTATTACGTTTCTCCTCGTCTGAATGATTTTAACACCACAGAAGAATTTCCTGAAGTAAAAACGATCTCGGTGGTGAGGGCACCTCTTAGGTGGGTTAGAGGCCGCAGAATAGAAACTCGCGGCCAGCCGGGTTTTTCTGTAATGAGACACTTGGATGAGGTGACTTTTATTCAGCGCGCACACAGAGGTGAAAACACATCCTGCACACTCTCAGGTCTGTTCAGACGTCGGGCTTTAGATTTGATTTAGTTTGAAACACGACAACATGACTTACAAAATTATTTTTATTTAGTTTTCTTGGATGCATGTTCACGTTGCAATTAGATGGCACAACAGCACATTTGAACCAAAACATCCATAGTAGGTAGATACAGAAATGAGTGTGAACATTAGTGGTTTGGGAAAGAACGTACCAAAACCCCCACATGCGGACTGTAAAACAAAGGAAACTAATAAAAAATCAAATCAAATAATAATAAAAATCAAGAAGAAATCACAAGAGTACAAAAACAAACAAAGATAAGGACAACTAAAATACAGACAATAGAGAGGACAATTCAATTCAATTCACTTAGCAGACGCTTTTATCCAAAGCGACATACATCAGAGAGTAAGTACTAATCCATTCATACACCGCCACCGAAGCAGCGGGAGCAATGTGGGGTTAAGTGTCTTGCCCAAGGACACATCGGACATGTTGCTCAGCTGGGGATCAGACCCTCAACCTTCCAGTTGAGAGGCAACGACTGTCTATCCAGGTCTGGTAGAGAAGAAGTCCCAGTTAGGGGCATAAATGTTGACAAGGGCGCAAGAGCAGTATTATATAGAGTGCCAAAGACCATCACATAGCGACCATTAGGGTCCAAAATACAGTTAGTTACGGAGAAGGGAACATCTTTGTGGATGAGAATAGCAGTACCTCTGCTTTTATAATGAAAGTTGGAGTGGAATAGCTGCCCCACCCACACATTTCTGATCCTAAAGTGGTCTAATGTACGAAGGTGTGTTTCCTGTAAAAAGGCAACACCTGCTCCTAGTTGCTGAAGGTGCTCGAGGACTCGCTTCCTTTTAACAGGATTGTTTAGACCGTTCACATTCCAGCTGATCAAGTTAGTATTTAATTTACTTGTAAGAGTGTTTGCTGACATAGTTACATTGAGAGACACGTGTATAGCAGCATCCCGCTGAATCATTAACAAGAGAAGTAGAAGTAGCAAACCTTTGTAGATATTATAAAAATAAATAAAAAACTTCAAATTACAGAATACGAACCAGGTTATCTGTATGACCAAAAATTGTGCTCTTGAGCATAGAAAGAGAATGTAGAGAGCAATTTGGATGGCAGAGAGATAAACATGAACAACAAAAAATGTATAATGAAAATCAATAAAACAGACACAGTAAGAGACAGGTTGATGACAAAAACATGTTGAATTATGTATACAAAAAAACTGTTTTACAATGTGAGCAAAAAAAAAAAATTGAGTGCATTTAACTTGTCAAACCAAATTGTAACTATTTGTCAACGCAGTAAATCCACACGAACATGAAGCCAAAATAGCTCCAGAAATAGTCCCATAGCAACCACGCTACTACAAACCACAGAGGGGAGGAAGGGAAGTCTCTTTGGACAGTTCGTGACCAATGAAAACAGTTACCAGTGTGGAAGCAAAATAATTCTAGCCGACCGAAGAGGGAACACAAATTGAAAAATATATCGGGGCTACATCGTCGTGGCATAGATGAAAATGAATGGATCATTAGCCAAGAGAAAAATAGTCGGAAACCAGACTAGTCCGAAAAACAGCCCATAAACAGTATGCTGAGCAGAAACAGTTTGTTAAAAGAAAGTAGTGTAACTTAGCCTAGGAAGTAACTAACTTAGGCAAACAGATTATGTTTAGCAAGACAGCTCAGCACCAGATAGTCACATAACAGCGGTGCTAGCAGAATCCCCCCTGGTCGTCGTGTCGGTATGTGCTTGTTAATAAAGTCCAGAGCCTCAGACGAGCTAGTGAAGCTCACCTTATCGTTGATCCACACGAAAACCAGACGAGTGGGATGGTAGAGGCGGAAAGAGATGTTAGCCTGATGGAGCCTGCACTTCACAACGGTGAACGAGAAGCGAAGCCAGGCCACCTCCGGGCTGACGTGAATCCGCTTACCCTGGTACAAGATCGGCCCCTCGTGGCGACTGGCGAGACGCAGCACCAGCTCGCGTACTCTGTAGCTGTGCATACGAACCAAAAGTGGCCTTGGCCTGTCCCCTGCTGGCGGCCTGGGCGCGACGGTCTGGTGGGCTCGGTCAATGATGATGGGCATCTCAAAAGCATTAGGGTCAAAAACTTCACGAAGGAGGTTACTGACGAAATTAGCCGGTTCGGGCATCTCTGCAGATTCGGGCAGGCCAATTATGCGGATGTTCTCTCTTCACGTGTAGTTACTCAGATAGTCGAGTTGTTTTTTCATGGCCTCGTTTTCTTTTGATAGTCGCGTCACCATCTCGGCCAGTCCCGAGAGCTGGTCACAGGCATCGGTAAGGGACTCCTCTACATCCTGAATCTTTTTCCCATGCACATCAACCACCTACTGTAGACCTGAAATAGCAGCCCCACACTATTTCTGAAAGTTTGCAAGCGACTCGATGTCACCCTGGAAGTCTGCAGCTGCTGTCGTGGAGGGCCGTTCGTCAGATTGGCTAACTAGACTCGCTGTAGAGTTAGCCGACAGACATGTAGACAAACCTTTTGTTTTCTGCGCTGCTTTTGGCATGGTTACAGTCTGTGAAGTCTTACGTAACCATGGGTCAGGAAAATACTTTTCAAAAGTTTGCAGAATAATAATAATATCAAAATCAGCAGGAGCTGCGATGAGACCGTCTAACATGCACTCATGCTTGACCGGAAGTCCAGAGCCAACATGACTAATGCAATCATAAAGTACAGGTACACAGGAATGTCGTCCCAATCTCTGAGTACTTACAGGATATCAAGTGTTTCAAACGATACAATCTCTGCTGCCGAGAGGAATTACTCTGATCAGGAATGGCAGACAAACTCCTGCACACGGTCGCACAAATTGCACAAAAACATGTCCATGTTTATGTGCAGTTTAGACAGTGTACCAGAGTTTTCCTGCAGCTTTAGTTCATAGTTCCCTTGTTGCTCTCTGGACATTTAGCAGCAGGTGAGTTTCCTGAATTCATTTTGCTTTGTTGTCGTTCAGGAGAGCGTCTTCGGTCAACCTGAGTTTGGAGAAGTTAGCCGAGGCTCCGGACGATTCCGCCTCGAGCCGGACATTTGACAGGAGAGCTGAGAGCCTGGAGAGACAATCGTCCACCGAGGGGACTCCTCCTCCCAAACCCCCCCACACGTACTACAACAAACACCGCTACTCTGAGGGGCAGGAGGAGGGGGAGGTCCGGTCCACAGGTGAGACGGCGCAGCAGGTTAGCATGTTGTTTAAAAGACCAGGTGATCATCTTAGTGAATCTGTTTTTAATTCATCGCTCTGCAGGTCAGCAAGTCCAGGCCCCTTCAGTGGCTCCTCCTCCGCCCCCCGACACCCAGGACCCCTCTGCTGTGACCCCCCAGGTGTCAGACGACAACCAGAGCAAGACCAAGAGGAATGTCTTCAGGAAGTTTTTCATTAAGAAGTAGAGCTGACGGACAAACTGTGCACTAAACGCTTTCAGACGTCGGGGGAGGTGTCCTGAAAGCCTTCATTTATAAAGTGTTTTATTTAACGTGTTCACAAAGTGCTGCAGAGGAAACATTCAACTACAAATCTGATCAAGTTAGATACTGAAACATAACCAAAAAACAAACGTCTAATGTATTACTGACTTTAATCTCACCTTAAGCTCCGCCCTCCCCCTCCTCTCCCCCGCTGGTCTGCGTTCACATCAGTAACATCGTTCTGTGCCCGAGTACACAGAAAGAAGAAGTAACCATGGCAACCCCTCGCGGGCTGACTCCATCCTGCTAACTGTGGATGTTTGTGTGATTTCTGAGACGGCAACAACGACCCTCTTCCTACGTCCACATCGACCGTGCAGCTCAGAGGATGAAACGGGCTGTGCTGCGTGCAGCGTGTAGTGGTCCACTTCCTTTTGACTATATTCATGTTTCATTTAGACTGTGACGGACTCATTCTTCTGCTACACACCAACATGAGGTCCCGTGTCCACCTTGCATTTCTTCCCAGGCAGAAAAGCGCTGACTGCGCTTGGGAGCGCTTGCATGAAGTGTTTTAGCGCTGATAAGAAAAGCGTCTGTTGACAACTGCCGCTGTCTGACCGTCACTGCTCCGTTACTTTTTACTGCGGAGCGAGGAGGAAGTGGCTACAACCAGAGGTGGGACAAAGTCATTGTTTTGCAAGTCACAAGGAAATCTCAAGTCTTTGGTCTCAAGTCCCGAGTCAAGTCAAAAGTAAAGACTGGCAAGTCCCAAGTTGAGTCAAAAGTCCTAACCTTTGAATTTCGGTTCCTAAACAAGTCTTAGCTCTCTTCACCAAATTAAATGCCATTTTAACAGAGTAATAATTTGTGAGTCAGTGTAACTGACTCTGTTTTGTTTATTTTTCCTAAATTCAGTTTTTTCCATTTTTATTTGACTGAATTCTGTGTTTAATGGTGTGTTCCATTAGATCAGATCACTGATTTGGGTCATTTTATTAGATCATGTCAGGAAATTGAGACATTTTTCAATATAAATGAACTTGCCTTGATTTATTTTCTAAAAAGTTTTATGCCTAGTGCCCAGGCCACCGTTGCTCCCCCTTTTTTTACAGTGTGTGTGAAGACGTACACCAAACGCACGTAAAACTCCTCATATTTTATAAAAACACTTGGTGTAAAAATGTAGGGTTTTTTAATAAATCACACCCACATTGAGGCAAATCCGACGATATTCTGTACACAGTTGATTATATTTTCATTGTAAAACAATGTGATTCCGTCCGTGTTTTGCGCATCGTGGAAATTATATAGCCTGTGGGACCTAAAATAACATTAAAACCTCAAGTATTTTCGAGTCATTAGGCTCAAGTCCAAGTGAAGTCACGAGTCATTGGTGTTGAAGTCCAAGTCGAGTTGCAAGTCTTTAATGATTTTTCAAGTCGAGTCCAAAGTCATCAAATCTGTGACTCGAGTCCAAGTCATGTGACTGGAGTCCACACTTCTGGCTACAACACATGATCTGTAGGAGGCTGAACTACGGGGAATATCAAACATCTGGGAAAGAGCACCGGTGACATCAACAGCGCCTTTCTGAAGAGTTGAGCGATTTTCAACTTGAGCGCTCTGACCAAAGACCCTGAGCGCTGCGCTTTCTGTCTTGCTGGCCGCCTGCTCCTGTGAACGCTCTCTACTCATTGGGAACAAGTGAAAAAAGACGCTGGCGCTCAGTAAAAAACGCCAGGTGGAAGCAGATGCTGTTTTTTCTTTCCTTCAGAAGTGGTTTCCATTTTCTATTTTGAACATTTGATTTCCTCGCCGATCGCTCAGATTTCAGAGTATCTTTAAATCAACAACTCAGTTTGCCGTGATGTTAAGCTGCGACCCGACAGATTGTCATGGTTTAAACGGCGAGATCGTGGATTTCATGTCTCATCACTCTGCTTCCTGAAGCGACCTCGCTAAATGTGCAAGCTTCAGCGCCACGTCGGCGTGAACGAGGTCAGCGACAGTCTGAGGTTTTCATGTCTGATGAGTTTGAAGAGCGTTCCTCTGAAGTCAGATCTCCATCTTCTGAAAAGTGACTCTCTCTCTGTCTGTCTCTCTCTCTCTCTCCCTCTTAGAAGTCGATGGAGGGAAATCAATCCAAACTAATTTGTCACATTTCGGAGCAGAAAAGCTTCCTGCAGGTCTCGTCTTCACGCCGTGCTTAGTATTTTAAAAAAAAAAAGATGAACTTTGCTTAATGAGTCCGTGTTTATTTATTAATGAGCAACAAATCCAAACATCTTCAGACTCATCTCTCCTCCTTTCAGCGCCGTCAATCAGTCGATCATTAAGAAGAACGTGTCGCTTTAAAGAGATCAAATTAAAGTCTTTGATATGTTGGAGTGCGAGTCATTGAGACCAACGTGACGTTCCTGTTTCTGCTCGTCACACCGGGACACCGCGTGTTGTCGGATCATCTCGTTAATTTGATTGATTACTGAACATCCCTGCACTCCATGTTTACATTAAATATTTCCACATTCCACTTCCTGTTGCTCTTTTTTTGTGCTTCTGTTTCTCCTTCCTGTTTGTGTGGTGTGGAAAGAACGTGCAACAACAAAACACAAAGCATGCATGTGTTGATCCAATCTGAACGGCCCAAATCTGATCGGAAATCGTCATGGATGAACTAATTTATTTTAAAAATGTTTTATATTTAGGATTTCTTGAGGATTACGTCATGAAAGGATCTGGAGGAAGTTGTAAGAGGACAGGAGTGGAGACCAGCGGCAAGACGAATCCCGCACAGGCAAGCTGGACACCTGCGATGAATCTGACAGTTCCAATCTGACCTCCAGCTCTCATTGAAGAACAGACGATCCATGTTGTCCTCGTCTCCCCAGACATCTCTTAGCTCAAACACTTATTTGTTATGCTTCTTCCTCTCTGCACGAACGTTTTAACCTCCGCCTCAAAGTTTCTGTGAGGTCACATGAGGGGATGCGTTCCTCCGCAGATCTCGATCATCTTAATAAAATCCTGCAGTCTGTGATGAGTCATGATTTTCATATCTGGTAGTGTTAGCATCCTTGGACCCCGTATCAAACTCTCGAAGGACTAATGAGGACCCCTTAAAGCCCATGAGAACACGAAAATATGAAAACCTGTTGGGAAGGCCTTAAACCCCCCAGCGTTTACCTTTCAGGCCCTATTAGAGTTCTTCAAACCACCTTGAAGATTCTAGAGCCCCCTAACAAAACCCCTTAAACTCTTTAGAATCCCCTGAGACAAGTTTGAAGACCTTGAGAAATTGAAAATGCAGACCCTCTTATTCCACTCCCACGTCAAATCGGACACTAAAACGTATCTCTTGCCTCCGGCCATCACTCTCCGACTCCGTGGAAACCCTTATCCACACCTTAATGACCTCACGTCTGTACTACTGTAATAGAGTCCTGTCTCGGGCAACCAGCAAAGACCTAGACCTGATCCATTGTATTCAAAACACCTCAACCAGAGTCCTCACCTGCACAAAGCCCAGGTAGCACATCACCCTGGCCCTCAATGAGATCCAGAATCAAATACAAAATACTCCTCACTTCTAAATCCCTAATCGCCGCTCAGTACTTCTCTGACCTCCTACACCCGAAGACCACGTCCTGAAACCTCCGGTCCTCAGACACTGGCCGGCTGTCCATACAACACACCAGACTCTGCACCTGTGGAGACCGGGCCTTCAGCGTCACAGCCCCCATCCTCTGGAACCCCCTCCCCTCAGACATCTGCAATGCTCCCCCCCCCCCCCATGTTTGGACTTCTTAAACCCCACCTCTCCTCCACAACCTAAACCTCCCTCACCTCTGCCCCTCCATCCATCTCCTTTACTTCCTGTCTCCTTTTTGTTTGGTCTGTCCACCGTGTAGAGCGTCCTCGGGTCCCTTTAAGGGATCTATATAAATCCATTCTATTATTATTTTTAAAAACCTCTGAAACACTTGAGAAGACCTGGCACCCCCTGAAACCCCCCTTAAGCTCATGAGGACCCCTTAAAAGCTGCAGAAATCCCTGCACTGTTTTTAAATATCCTCTTTAGAACCCCTGAGACAGAATGAGGGACTTTATAAATCCAAACCAAATCCCTTCAGCTCAGTAAAAGTTAGTTTCCACTGTGTTAGTCCTTCAGTAAATAACCCGAGGTGTAGTTCCTCCTCTCCGCCGCACGGTGTCGCTGTCGCCGCAGTAATCCTCCTCCTCTCCTTTCCTTCCTCTCGGTTGGAGTCCGGGGCTCCAGCCGGCAGATTGTCCGGTTCAAAAGTTTATTTTGAGCGCTTGACATTGATTGAACCATTAACCCCGCGGCGCCAACACCGCTAATGATTTCCTGCTTGTTTTTATTCGTGCAGGACGTTTCAGCCAATCAGAGGAGCTGCCTCAATGTCATCATCCGAGCGCGTTCACTCACTCATCTGTTCACGTGCACAAATAAAGTTTAAAGATTCAAAATGAGCCACCTTCAAATCCACTTTTTCTTTTAAAGCAACAATTCTCATTTTCACCTCGAGAGACAAAAACATGAATTTAGGAATAAATGTATTATAAAAATTAGATTTAAATGTGAAATTCTAATTAAGAATTGTTCATAATCTTGGGGAAAAGTTACCAAATCTGTCTTATAAGAGGAGAAGAGCTGGCACTTAATATAATGACCTTATTACTACAAATACTGTTTTTATTTTAAGGCCTGATTTAAAAGTGAAATTTATCTTAAAACACATTTAAAGAAATGAGGGCAAATATATTCAGATTTAAAACCAAAGAAAAAAGCTAAATAAAATAAACTCATATTTATATGACTGTCGAGGAGATGCCTTTAAAAAAAACTATTTATACATAATGTTTCAAGGACAGGAACAAGGGAAAAATACAGTAAAGTAAATACAATATGGCGGACAAACTTAACTTAATTATAATTTAAGTAAATGAACTAAAACGGTGGACTGGTTTTATTTGACGCTCTAAACCAAGGGTTCCCAAACTTTATCATACCAAGACCCTCGATAGCATCACCCGCTTGCATGGATCAGTTGGTGGAGTCTCTCAACCAGAAGGTCGAGGGTTCGATCCCCAGCTCTGCAGCCACATGTCCGATGAGGCCTCGGGCAAAACACTTGTTAACTCTTAAGGTGCTCCCGCTGCTTCATTGGCGGCGTGTGAATGTGAATGACTAGATTAGTTAATACTGACTATATTTCCTTATTTAGATATTTTTGTGTCATTTCTGACTTAACATCAGCCAACAGTAGAACAGAGTTTGATATGCAGCGATTAAAAACATCTCAAAATGCTTAAATCAAAATGTAGGGCCTAGCTTTCAAAATGTATGTTGTAAAAATGATCAAGTTTCTGGGACCCACCCTCCACCCAGCACCTCCTGGTGACCCCCTTCCACTTTGAATAACACTGCCTTAAACTCTCTCTGACGTGATACCGATTAAAGTTGAAGTTAATGGCAGTTACGTCATGTTTGCTTATTTTGATCCTTTTATGATAAAAACATCTTAAACATCCTGACTGTGTTTCCGATGAGTGAAAGTTTTATTTTGATGATTTAAAGCAAGTTAAATGTGAAAATAAGATCCCTAAAATCATTGATCGTTTATCTGATTCACAGTATTTTGTCTTACTTGTTTCTGTGAGTGACGTCATCTTTGTGTCCCTCCGGGCCTCCGTCTGATTCTCTCCGTCACATTCAGCTCACGAGGAACCAGCGGGAGGCCGGAGAGCAACCTGCTGCCCATCACACCCAGTTTAACCAGTTTAATGACCAGTTTATTCACCAGTACAGCAGCGAGCACACAGGGGGAGGCTTTCCAACCGGAAACATGAATCATAAAATGCTTTTATTTCTTTAAAACGGCTCATGTTCTGAAACGGAAGCTGCTGCGCGAGATATAACGTCCTGATTTGATCAAATTTAAATACTGCAGTTTTTTTAAATATTGAACTATTTAGTTTCTTTAAAAGTGATTGTTTTTTTTTTTTTTTACTTTTAATTGATAATTATAAAAAAAGGTTAATTAATTTAAATCTTCAAAATAAAAGCTCCGTTTATGGGTGTGACTCATACTCAGCGCGTGAAGAAAACGATTCTTCAATCTTTTAAAAACTACACAACAGGTTATGTTTTTATTTCTTTTTTAAAGACTTTCTGGGGTCATTAAGTGTAAATGTACTTTAACGGAAGTATGCTGCTTTAACAAATTAAATAAAGTTAAACAGAAAATACAGAACCGCCGTTTATTCGGTCGTTTTGCGCCTCAAAAGAGCTGAAATGTAATTTATTCTGATAGTTTTTATTTGTTTTCTGTTCTTTAAATATTTGTCACCTGTTTTTGGACTAAATCTAAAGACTTTTATTAAACTGACAAAACGAAACTTTTAATCTGCAAAGTTATTCTCTATTTATTTTGTATTTGCTTTGTTTGATTTTAAAGATCCTAATTTATGTTCATGATAAATATTTAATAAAGCATATTCACAACCGAAACACGCGGATTATTTTTTTAATCCCCGTGGAACCAAAACACCAAAACAAATATTTAAAGCTAAATTTTTCTACATAAGTATGAATTAAGGTCCGCTGAAAACTTTGACAGAGATAAAGAGGAATAATGTTATCATACATTCATAATAAGAAATAATTAAAGGTGATAAATATTCGTTTCATGTCGTTTTCTAGTCTAAAATCCCGTTTTTCGGAGACGCTCGCGATGATTTGACCTCTTTACAGTTTTTAAAAAGATGATCAAACATCAGGTTCACCTGATAAATGAAGCCTTCAATGTTTTTATTATAGATTATATGTTTCTCCTGCTTTGGTAAATAATTCAAAAAATATTTTTCAGTCTTATTTTTATATTAAAAAACCTCTCAGATCCAATTGCATAAAATCATGACGTCATTTGTGACGTTTTAAATCTACAATACGCAGACTATTAAAGTTAAAACACTAAAATGTATAAATCAGTGTGAGGAGGAGGCTGCTGCTTATTTGGGTGTACTTCCTGTCTCCACCGCTGGGGGGCGCCCTCGTCCTCTTCTTCTCTATGATTTATTTGCTCACAACTTTCCCTCTGAGCCTTAAAGCCAACAATAATAAAAACACTGACGCTGTTTACACGCAGCCGACAAATCAGACCACATCGATGTGTTCAAACATTCAGACAGTAAACACGTCTCAACACCAACATCCTGCTCCCTTTGTCCCTCCTTCATCCCTCCTTCATCCCTCCTTCATCCATCCTTCATCCATCCTTCATCCATCCTTCATCCTGCTCCCTTCATCCCTCCTCTCCTTCATCCCTCCTTCATCCATCCTTAATCCTTCTCCCTCCGTCCCTCCTTCATCCCTCCTCTCCTTCATCCCTCCTTCATCCTTCTCCCTCCGTCCCTCCTTCATCCCCCCTCTCCTTCATCCCTCCTTCATCCATCCTTCATCCTTCTCCCTTCAGCCCTCCTTCATCCCTCCATCGTCCCTCCTTCATC